TTTAACAATTCTCAAACTGCAGTTAAAAACAATAATATAGTAGCACATATTTTACAAGTATTAAATAATTTATATGACTATACAAGTATTCACAATAATTCACCTGAGTGTAATTTCCAGATAAATGCATTCAAAAACTAAACAATTTAACTTTTCAAAACAGATGGTTTCTGTTGTAATTTTATTCATCATCCATTTACCAATGGATTAAATAACATACAAGTCTGTGTCCTGGTCCAAAAAAATTGAAAACATGTTACCCGATGAAAGAAAACAAAAGTCATTCCAAGAAGATATTTAAAATACGTCAGCAATGACTGCTGTAATTGACCCTTTAAAAATGCAGTGGTTTTGAAATATTGAATGATGTGTTACTGACTACAATGCTATTTATTCCCAACTATTGATTCCCCTGTGGGTTTAATGCACAATGTGATAATAACAGCAAAACATACAGAACAGTGTTTCACATTTTCAGTATTGTGTGTTCAGTTATCCACTAAAACAGGATAGCAGAGAGAATTACAAATTTTGTCTACGTGGTCTCAAGCTACCAAAGTGGAAACAAAAAAATAGCTGAGATAAATCATGATTTCCCCAGACAGTGATAAATGCTGAGCATGAAAATGTTGGATAAGGCCAGGTCAAATATGAAAAATAAAACTGACGAACAGTAATATTTCCAGCTGTTTCACTCAAATTCTGAGAAAGTAAGATTGTTATACATTTCACAGAAGCTATGCATTTATAAAAGGATAAATATTTAATGTACATACACCAGTGGAGACAGCAACTATTTGCCCACAAGTGCTTTCCAGGAAGTTACAAGTTCTTCATCATCTGAATCCTTTTATATTACAGCCTTACCTCAGATCAGAAGATACACAGGTCAGTGAATTCCGAAACTCAATCACCAATCTCACAAAACTGGACAATTTCAAATCCAGACAACATCTGAAGCATTAAAGTTGGCTTCATCTCACCCGGGTTGGACAGGAAATCAGACATTTTTCCCACTTTCGATTGTTAGCTAATGACCATTGTTGGAAATACTAAACAACCAGAAAGGCTTTTTGGTATAGCTATACATGAAGTTCCAGGTATTTGTGGAACCATATCTCAACATGAGTCAGTTCTTCAAAGATGGGAAGACAGCAATGCGAAAATAAAAGCTACAGACTATTGCTTTTAAGGCTGTATTCAAACAGGAGACCAAATAAATTCTTACACAGTCAGCATTCTGTACTGTAAGGTTTAGTTTAACCATAATCATCATAATAATAAGGCATTGTGTAACTAGAATGTATAACTGGAATAAATTATTCAATAGAAAACAGTAAATCTTCTGAATCCGTGAAATCACGAATCGCAAATTCATCTCTATGCCAAAAAATAAGTAAGTATCAACAAAAACCAACATGTGTTGGCAAAAATCCGTATTTGGAATAGGCACGCTGCAATTAATGTTAAATTATAGAAACTATTTTTACATGCTCTTTAAGCAAGAGATTATGCTTTTATTAAAATTGTGCCTCTGTTTATTAAGATATTTTAAAATACAGCAACATAATTTGCCCAGTTAGAAGTAATACTGTAGTACAGTCATTCTTCCATATACACAATTTTTACCCTTTTTTAAAAACAAGCTCCACACTCTCAAATTTCATCATTCACAGGGGCTCTCAGGAACGGAACCCTCACGGATACGGAGGAATGACTGTACTACAGTATCACTTCTAACTGGGCAAATTCTGTTGCTGCATTTTAAAACACTGAATAAATAGAGGCACAATTTTAATAAAAGCACAATATATTGCTTAAAGAGCAGGAAAAACAGTTTCTGTAATTTAACATTAATGACAATGTGCCTATTCCAAATGGTACACAGCAAATTTTTTCCATTAAATATATGTGTTCATCAGTAGTTAACAGTAATCAACTTCCAACAATTATCCTTGATTCTTGTGATTCCAGTTTTCCCAAAATTCCTTACTGTTCATTTTTTATAAGACAACACCAATCACAAGATAGTATTTCTATGCAGTCAGCTTAAACTGGATTTAGGTTTTGTTCGTCATCTTGTACGTGCCTTGCTGAAGGTCTGTCATCTCCTGTATCTTGTTTGTCTTTCTCAGCTTCAATCCAGCTCTGAGGTGGAATCATTTTCTTTGGGCCAAAAGGTGGAGCACCAATGAGTGCTTCAATGTCATCATAATTTAGAACTTCCTTCTCCACGAGTGCATTTGCAAGCTAAAATTAAAAGTGAAAGGACTTTGAATAGAAGATTCAGTTTTGTTTAAAAATTAGATTTGGATTTTACATTTCAAATTATGGTGTCTAGGTTCAAAAAGATTAAGTTACATGCTATAACTTGAATGCAGTTTCTTTGGTAGAAATTTCAAAACAAAAAAAATGTTTGACTTAGATAGGTTACTTTGGGAGCAGTTATAATTGACCATGACAAGCTATCCTCACATGAAAATGCTACAAAACTTCAGCAATTTCTCGTGACTTTGACAGCATGTTTTTTTTAAAAAAATGTCTTCAGGAATGCAGCATTACTAGCAAAGCCAGCATTTCATGCCATTCCAAATCGTCCTCGAGCAGGTGGATTTGAAACACTGCAGTTGATCTGATGTATGTACACAGTGTTATAGGGAGCTCCAGTAGCTTTCAGATGGTTGTGTTCTCATGCATCTGCTTCCCCTGTCCTTCTAAGTGATGGGATACAAATGACACTTGCAACAAGAAATGTTTTCCTTCTAAGGGTTAGGTAATTGAATCTTACAGCTGGTATGGTACCTTAAATCAACTGGGGTGATGGTAGCGATATTGTTATTTTTGGTTGATTGAGAGAGAACAAACAAATCCAGAGTCTGCACTCTGTTGTGAACGTCACAGATGGAAATTAGGTAAAGACAAAGATTGACCTGGGCTCTAATATGATTGTAGTCAAATAGCCCAGAGACATTCTCCATCAGGATTCCTATATGAATAACATCTATTTGAGCAAGTTGACTAGTTGGTAGTGGTTAATTGATGCCTGTAGAACTATATCTATATTTTGTTTTGTTTGGTAAAGGGTAAAATCTTGCACAACTGTTGAAAAAAATGTTTCCACATTAGTATAATGGAAGGATTGCAAGTAGTAGCTACACCTTGAATTAAATCATATAATTTGAATCAGTCTTACTTAAAAATTAAAGAATTAAAGGTGTTACCATTTTTAGATGAGTGTGGGCATAACTGTATAGATTTAAACATTCTTGCATCAGCAAGTCGAATGATCATAATATACACAGTTTAGTTTAAAATCATGATTCCAAATAATTCTTGAATTTGAAAAAAAAAAATATTAACAATTAAAAATCTTCATTAAGAACACAGAAAATTTCAGGACTAGATCATTTAACCCATTTGACCAGACTCAAAGTTCAAACTTTAAAGCAAACTTTAAACCCTCAAATAATTTTTTTCAGATTCCATATTCTCTATATTCTTTTATACCATATTCTTCTTGAATTTACCAATTTGTATTCACCTCTACTGCATTCTTGGCAGTCTGTTCCACTCATTCATCACTCTCATCCCCATCATTCCTTTTAGGGTCAGTTAAATCTAAAATTTGTTCATCCTTCTTTCTCTCCACTAGACTCATGTCCCTAGTTTAAGTTTGAGAGTTTGCCAAAAAGTTACAAATTCACGACAAAGAAACCGAAACAATAAAGGTTTGATGTGACCAACTGGCTTTTAAAAGACAATTATGTATCAGAACTGCTCATTGAAGGCTTGATTCGTATTCCAGTCTCACCTACTGCTACATGCATTTCAAACAAAAACATATTATAGTGTCTGTAATATCATAAAATGGTCCAAGATGTGTCACAACAGCATTATGAAACTAACTTTGACATTGGGTCACATGACATAATTAGGGCAGGTGGCCAAACTGTTGCTCAAAGGGAAAGGTTTTAAGATGTATCAGAATATCTCCTTACTACGATTTGAAGTCCCCACCTGCTTCAAAATGACCACCTGGAGCCAAAGAAAAATCACACAGCATGCCTCAATGCTACTGCTCGGTGACTCTGACCTCCATAATTATAAAATGCTTTGAAAGGTTAGTCATGGCTGACATTAACTCCAGCCTACCAAACTGCCTTGATCCTTTGCAACTCACCTCCCGGTGCATCAGCTCCATGGCAGATGCCATCTCCCTGGCCCTACACTCATCACGGGAACACCTGTCTAACAAAGATACCTACATCAGGCATCCTACTTACTGATTACAGCTCCACCTTCAACACCATAATTCCAAATAAACTCATCCCTAAACTCCGAGACCTAGGTCTCAGCTCCTTCTTCTGTAACTGGATACTCAACTTCCTGACCCCTAGACTGCAATCAGTAAGAATAGGCAACAATACCTCCTCAACACTGGTGTTCTGCATGGCTGCATACTCAGCCCCCACTATACTCTTTATGCACTCACAAACGTGTAGCCAAATTCTGCCCCAACTCCATTTACAAGTCTGCTGACAACACCACCGTTGTAGGTCAGATCTCAAACAACAATGAGACAGAAAAGAGACCAAGTGCTTAAGAGCATCGTGTAAAGACGACAATCTCTCCATCAATGTCAACAAAATGAAGGAACTGGTCATTGACTTTAGGAAGTAGAGCGGAGGGCACACCTCTGTTTGCATCAATGTTGCTATGGTAAAGCTGGTTGAGAGTGTCAAGTTCCTGGGAGTGATGATCACCAACCATCTGTCCTGGTCCACCCATGTTGACTCAACGGTCAAGAAAGCACAACAACGTCTCCAGTTCCTCAGGAGGCTAGGGAAATTTGGCATGCCCACAAGGACTCTTACCAACTTTTACAGATGCATCATAGAAAGTTTCCTATCTGGATACATCACAACATAGTACGGCAACTACTCTTCCTAAGACCGCAAGAAACTACAGAGATTCGTGAACATAGTCCAATCCACCACGTAAACCAGTCTTCCATCCATTGACTCCATCTATACTTCCCGCTGCCTTGGGAAAGCAATCAACATAATCTCTTCCACCCTCTTCTGTCAGGCAGAGATATAAAAGTTTGAATATATGTGCAAACAGATTCAAAAACAGCTTCCTCTCTGACTTTTAAAGGACCTCTCATATGTCAATTCTGATTTCTCTCTCTGTGCACCTTCTCTGCAGCAGTATTCTGCACTCTGTTCTACTACCCTGATGCACTTTATATGGTATGCTCTGCCTGTATGGCATGCAAAACAACATATTTCACTGTATCTTGGTACATGTGACAATGATAAATCAAACTCAGTCTCAGGAAGGACAGGTGAGAGGTATAGGGTGTTAAGGAAGGAATTCCAAAGAATAGTGTGAAAACAACTAGAGATGCAGCTACCAAACATGCAGCAATTAAACTCAGGATGTTCAAGAGGGTATGAATTAGATAATATTTTGGAGGGTTGTGGGATTGGAGAAAATTAAAGAGATAGAAAAGTTCAAAGCCACGGAGAGATTTGAAAACAAGGACTGGAATTTTCAAATTGAGGCAGTAGGTCAGCAGACACAGGTTAATAGTTAATTGGGACTGTAAGGATACAAGGAACAGGCTTTTGGATGACCTCAGGTTTATGCAGGGTAGCATGAGAGAGGACTAGAAGGACTGTTTCCTCTCAGTAGGTATGTCCTCCACCCCATTTATAGCAGGCACATTTGTGCAAATATGATTTTCCCACTTTAAGCAACAGCTGGTGTAACTGATTAGATCAATTTTAACTGGAATTTGATGGATTCAGAAATTCAAACTAGCATATTTTAAATACTGTCAGAAGTCCAGCCCCACAGTTTCTCAGAAGCAATTCACCAAATTAATACTTGGGAAGCAGCTCTTTCCAGCCAGTCTATCTTTCAACCCCAATCATGACAATAGATGCTGTCCAAAGGTTTCCCAGAAGACAAGCAAAGTTATTTGGCTGAATTCTTCAATGGCAGAACTACAAACACTGAGACATAGCTTGGCTGGTAGTGAGAAAGACTCTTGCTCTCAAATTGTCCTACATGCACACAGTCATACCTCCTTTGCAAACTGTTCTCAAGGTGGCTGTAGTGGCTAATAGACTGTTGTCCACATCCTTGTGGAATGTGCCTTTACAAAGAAGGTCTGCTGAGAGATGTGGTTTTTTCTAAATAAAATTGTGTTGATGGAAGTATTGGGGCACCTCAGAATATAACAGTGAACAGAAAACATTTTCTTTCTATTGTATGCTTTAATTTTCAATTTGAAAAAATTTACCCTCAGTTTATCTGAATATATAGTGCAACTACTGGGACTACTACCATTGTATTGAGGCACCCTATGAGTGGAACACATTGTATGGAGACAAGTTGAATTTTATTGCAAACTGTAATATTCAAGCTGAAATGTTCTGCAAAGTATTTTTTCAAATTTATGAATAAAATATATTTTTTGGAAATAAAATGATTGGGAGAGGAATTCTAGCTTCTATATTGTTGACATTTCTTGTTTGTTTTTGTTAGACAGGGAAGCTTCACCACGTGTATAGCTCCATGTGAGGTGAAAGTTTTTTGCCTTATTCAGGGCATCTGGGTGTCTTTGGGTTGGCATGGACAAGATGAACTGAATGACCCACTTCTATGCTGTATCATTTCAATGGTTCTATTCAGCTATGGAGAGTTGAAAAGGGCTGAACTACAAGGCAGTCTAGTCAGTTTCATCACAACAACAGTGTACTGCAGAGATAGCGAAAACTGTTGATGCTGAAATCAGAGACAATGCAGTGTGGAGTTGGAGGAACACAGCAGGCCAGACAGCATCAGAGGAGCAGGAAAGTTGACTTTTCAGGTCGGGACCCTTCTTCAGAAATGGGGAGGGGTTGGGCTGGGGAAGGGAGGTGGGATGGTAATAGATGAGTGCAGTTAGGGAGTGGTAGGAATTAGTCAGTGGGATGGGTGGGGCGGATAGGTGGGAGAGAAGATGGACACGTTACGTCAGGTCAAGCAGGCAGGGATGAGAGGGAGGGTTGGACATGGGATGAGGCCAGGGCGGGGGGGGTGCGGTCATGAGATTTTATATCTGGTGAATTCCATGTTTAGGCTATCGGGCTGTAGGCTCCCGAGGTGGAATATGAGGTGTTGCTCCTCAAGTTTGCGGGTAGTATCATTGTGACACTAGAGGAGGCCCAGGATGGACATATCACCCATGAGTGGGAGGGGGAGTTAAAATGGTTGGCGACCAGAAGGTGTTGTCGTTTGTCGCGTACAGAGCGCAGATGCTCTACATAATGGTCTCTGAGTCTACACTCGGTCTCACTGATGTAGAGAAGGCCACATCGGGAGCAGCGGATACAGTAGACCAGTTGACAGTTGTGCAGGTGAACCCCTGTCTGATATGAAAGGCTTGTTTTGGGCCTAGAATGGAGGTGAGGGGGAAGGTGTAGGGCTAGGTGTAGCACTTCCTGCAGTTGCAGGGAAAAGTGCCAGGGGTGGTGGGGCTGGTGGGGAATGGGAAGCGGATGAGGGAGTCACAGAGAGATGGGTCCCTATGAAAGGCAGATAGGGGTGGGGAGGGATATATCTTTTCGGTTGTGGAGTCAGATTGTAGGCAGTGGAGAATGATACGCTGGATGTAGAGGTTGGTGGGGTGATATGTGAGGATAAGGGAGATTTGGACTTTATTTTTGTTGTGGGAAGAGGGCGTGAGGGCAGAAGTGCAGGAAATGCAACACAGCAAGGGCATTTTTGATCACCAGAGGTGGGGTGTTACGGTCCTTGAAATAGGAGGACACCTGGGATATTCAGGAGTGGAACACCCCATCTTGGGAGCAGATGCGGTGGAGATGGAAGAATTGGGAGTATGGGATCGTATTCTTGCAGGAGAGTGAGTGACAGAAGGTGTAGTCCAGGTAGCTGTGGGAGTCAGTGGGCTTGAAAGAGACGTCAGTTTCGAGGCGTTCACCAGAGATGGAGACGGAGAGGTCCCGGAAGGAGGTGGTGATATTGGAGTGGAGATGCAATTGGAAGTTTCAGCAAGCTGTCTTGAGCCTTCATGAAAAGGTTTAATGACCAGTGACCATACATGACTGCAAGCAGCTGCATGAACTCGAAATATTCAGTGAATTAGAACAGACTAAGCTCTGTTTCTTTAATTAATATTTACGGCATTCATATGTATATGGTTGCCTCGGATAACACGGACAATGCAAGTGATAGAGACTGTGCAATTAAAGATTAACCTATTGTGCTCCACCAGACAACCATGCATTAGAGGAAAAAATATATTTTAACATTCTTTTTCCAATATTTAAACCAGGCCAAATCTAATTCTCAGCAGGTGTAGCTTTTGAAGATGCATTTTGGATGCAGGTATATTCTCTTCTTAGAGATCTGAAAGGACTTCAAAAGTTGCACCTAGTTAAAAATAACAGATAATTAAGATAATATCCCGGAGAAAGGACCCATTTATTTTCAGTTGTCCACTTCTCATATCATTTATCTGAGATCTTATTTTACCTGAACTCTCGTTCAACATAGTATTAAAAGTCATAGTGCACCTGAGAGTGCTTTCTGTATACAAAACAGAAAATTTAAATTTTGCAATGTTTTTTTTAATGCAAGTGTGGTAGTGTCTTTGTAACAATAAATAACGTTCATTAATCTCTGTGGTAACCAGATGTGCATGAAAACTAATACAATCTAAACTTTACCCTCCAAGAACAATAAGTAGAATTTAAAATTACTTTTTAAAGTATTTAAATTTATCCATGTAAAAAGTAATTCAGCTGGGATTTCCAATTTCTGATGCTGTAATAAAACACTTTTACAAAAATGATCTTCACCAAATCGATCTTCAGCTGTGCAGTATTATGGTTGTGGTTTGTCAATCATGGCATTAAAGCATTGAACAATCCAATGCAAAGAAGAACTATAGTTCAACCAAATATTGAGCTTAATGTGTCTTGCACAAGAATCAGCATTGTAGATGCCAGCAGTACAATTAAGTTGGAATGACACCAAGGGATACCCACATCCAATTAACAAATTAAAACGTGACAAATAATCTGAATATGTAATCTAACTGGCTTTTTCAGATATGGAAACCAAAATGGTATGCATCATCAGGCTTTTTCTTTGGTGACATGTACAAGTTACAATCTCTTGTTGCTGATTTAAAAGTGAGAGTACATGTGCACACAAGTGGAAGGAGAGACAATATTTAAAAATTTATTTTCTCTTTGGTCAAATGGGCAAGTAACTTACAATAAGAAGTTTGTCCCGGTTATCCAGTAGGAGCTTCTCTGTGCGCCTGTAAGCATTAGCCACTAATAGTTTGGCTTCCTGTAGAATTAAGAAATTGGCGAAAGGATACTTGCATTATTGAAGATAATTACTGGGCACATCCACAAATTGAAGATATGATAACAATGTGAACTAATTTAATAATGAACAACTTACTCAACTCACCTGTCAATTTACTACCATGGTGTCATAAATTAACTAGTTTCCATAATTCCTTCTACAATAGAACATTAACAACACAATTTTACACACTCCTTTTTCACTTCAGAGGAATTTAGAAGTAAAATACAGCACCAAGCCACATAAGGCAACATAAAGTGAGATGGCCAAAAGCTTAGTCAAAGGGGTACACTTTAAAGACCATCATAAAGGAAGAAAAGAGAGGTTGATAGATTGAGGGACTTTGGAAAGAATTCTAGAGCTTAAGACTTAGACAGGTGAAGGCACAGCAATGGTGCAGCAATTAGATGCTTAACCTTCCAGATTAAATGAGTGAAGAGACCTAGAAAGTATCATGGTCTGGGGGAAATTACACAGTTGAGAGGAGTATTTAACACTGCAAGCAGTTCAGGCCTGGAGACAATCAGCTGTCCTTTGAAGCTATGAAGTCTCACACAGTCATTCCATGATAACATACATGGCACAATTTAAATTATTCAGTTATTCAATTCGGCAGCTGTACACCTGATAGATCAGGAATGGAACAAAACTGACTTGCAACTTAGCCCTTTCACTTCTTTTTAGTTTTCCTTACGGTTTCCCAGCCTAAATCATACAATTATAGAAACCTTACAACACAATGAGGCCATTTGGCCCAACGAGTCTGCAGATCCTCCAAAGAGCATTCCACCCAGAAACATCCTATCTCCATAACTCTGCATTTACCATGGCTAATCCACCCAGCCTACACATCCCTGGACACTATGGGTTAATTTAGCCAGGCCAACTCACCTGACCTGCACGTTTTTGGACTATGGGAGGAAACTGGAACATCTAGGGAATCCCACACAGAACATGCAAACTCTACAGTGATGGTTCGCTCAAGGGTGGAATCAAGCCTGGATCCCTGGGGCTGTGAGGCAGCAGTGCTAACCACTGAGCCACCCTGCCACCCAAATGGAAGTAAACCCCTACAAATGATAAGATAGGAAACTTCAAACCTTTCAACATTGAAAGCCATGATAAAACTGCACTGGTCAGAAAACCTTTGTTTGTTGGTGATATTGTCTTTGTTTCTCAGAAGCAAGACCAGCTGAAAGTTCATGGATTATCTGTCCAATGCAAGCATCATATTCTCCCTCACCATCAGTATCAAAAAAGTACAGTTATGGAACACAGTGTTGTGTCTGTGCCTGTAATTAAACTTAACAACACACCGCTGAAATAAATTGTCAAATTTTGCTTCCTTGAATCAAGCAACGATAGACAATTTTGATGATGATCTCAGCACATGCATTGGAAAGGCAGCCACTCCAACTTTAGCTGACTAACAAAACAGGCACTGACTGCTAACTGCAGGTCTGATTACCTATTGCTGAATGGCATTGAAGCGTGGACAACTTACACTACTAAAACAAAAAGGTTCGATGTGTCTCCAGATTTTGTAACACACACTTAGCATCACACGGAAAGACAAAGATCATCCAAAGATACAGCCTTTTCTAGGACAAGCATACCAAGCATATTAATGCTAATCAAGCAAAGATAGAACGTGGTTGCATCCCCAAGGAGATGTTAAAAGGAGAATGTTTTGGGGAAGGGCGGGGAGCAGGGTGCATTGGAGAGAAAGTTGGATTTATAGGAGCAGTGACTGAAAACAATGGCTTCAGTCTTTCCAATATTTAATCGGGGGGGAATTCTGCACATCCAAGTGGATGTTGAATAAGCAGCTTGATATTGCAACATCAGATAATGGAGCAAAAACAAAGTTGCTGGAAAAGCTCAGCAAGTCTGGCAGCATCTGTGAAGGAAAAAACAGAGTTAACGTTCCAGGTCTGGTAACCTACCTCAGAACGGCTTTACAGCATCTGCAGTTCTTTCGGTTTTTATCAGATAATGGAGGATTTTTAAGGTTTTAGCACCGAGCTGGCTTGTTTTCGTTCAGATGTTTCATCACCATGCTAGGTGACATCATTAGTGAGGCCTCTGATGAAGCAATGTTGTTCTACTCCGCTTGGAATTTATACTGTCTGGTCTGTTATGGTGATTTGTGTCGTTTCCGGTTCTGTTCTGTATGGGTTTGTATGTGGGGTCCAATTCTATATGTTTGTTGATTGTATTATGGGTTGAGAACCATGCCTCCAGGAATTCTCGTGCGTGTCTACGTTGGCTTGGGCTACTATGGTTACATTGTCCCAGTTAAACTGATGGCCTTCATTGTCCGAGTGTACTGCTATTAAGAAAAGTTCGTTGTGTCGTTTTGCTGCTAGCTGATGTTCGTGTATTCCTGTCTGTCCGATGTAATGCTTGTGGCAGTCATTGCATGGTATTTTGTAGACTACATTAGTTCTGCATGTTGTGGGAATGGGGTCTTTAATCCTTGCGTGTTTTGTCGTAGAGTGGTGTGGGCTTGTGTGCTACCATGATTTCTAGTAGTCATAGAAGCCTCATTGTCAATTCTGATATGATCTTGATGTAGGGCAGTGTGGCCAGTGTCGCCAGTGTCTTACGGCATACTGTGTCCTCTTGTTGTTGCCTATTTATTAGGCACCTGCAGATGAAGTTGTATGGATATCTGTTCATAGCAAAGATTTTGTATAGGTGCTCTTTCCTCTTTACAAGAGCTATGCACGAGTGAAAATTAACACTGTGCCTTCAAGTGTGGTTGTCAAGGGGCAGTACATAAATGAGAAATAGGTGGATGTCACGGATAGATACTCTGAAGACTCTGAACAGTGTAAGAGCAGAATGAAAAGTGTTTGCAAATGATTCTCTGGCTACAATTAGAAAAGGATCAAACCACACTGGAACATGCCAGTGGAAAGGTGCTAGATGAGGACTGGATGGTCAATTGTATCAAAGAAAGGATATGCTGGCATTTGAGAGGGTCCACAGGAGGTTTACTGGAATGATCCCAGGGATGAAGGACTTGACATATGAGGAGCAGTTGAAGACTCTGGGTCAATACTCAATGGAGTTTAGAAAGATAAGGTGGGGGATCTAATTGAACACTAAGAAGATAGAGTGGACGTGGAGAGGATGTTTCCACTAGTAGGAGACACTGGCACTTGATGGCACAGCCCTAGTGAAGGGACAACCCTTTAGATGAGGAGGAATTTCTTCAACCAGAGGGTGATGAAACTGTGGCACTCATTGCTGCATAAGGCTGGAGAGGCCACGTCATTGAATATTTAAGACAGAGATAGATAGGTTTCTGATTAGTAAGGGGAATCAAAGATTATAAGGAGAAAGCAGGAGAATTGGCTGAGAAACATGTGATTGAATGGTGGAACAGACTCAATGGGCTGAATGGTCTAATTCTGCTCCTAAATCTTATGGTCTGCAGACAGGTCAAAAAAGGTTAGGGAGACAAAACTGACCCACATCAAAGTCACATAAGATGTCAAGTGTGTATGTGATTGGAGCTGTTTCAGTATTTAGGCAGGATGGAATCCTGATTGGACAAAGTAAATTATGGGAGTTCCAAGTTTTCTGATCCCAGCAGATGTTAATATCAGCCAGATACTAGGTCCTAACTTTGTTTTATTTTAAACCATGGCAGTCTGTTACTGACTGAATGTATTCTCAAGATGTTACAAGTGTACTTTAATGAATAAAACATTTGTTAAACAAGGAAGTAAAACAGTGACAATGTTATGCTAGATGAAGGGTTGGAAAGATTTCAGTATAGATATCATAACAGGATTCAAGCTCACACTGCCCTTTTCTCCCCAGCAGGATCCTTACAATCACCTAAAGCTCAGAAAAGAGTTAGAACCATTTCCACATCGCAGCTCCTCAGGCTATTACAGTTGTAACAGGTTATCTTTCAGTGAATTTTATGCATTCATTAGATCTACTTTTCTTGCAATGATGTCCCTCCCTAAGAAAATTAAAACAAACTAGAAAATAAACGCACTGTTCGTTTGCCTTCATGGCAAACACGAGTTTCCCAAAATCTAGCTTCCAGCAGGTTTTGTCCCCCAGATTTCGTCCTGGTAAGAGTTTTAACACTTTAGCACCCCTCAGACATAAACTGACTGCCTTCTCAGTTGTTCTGTCTGTGTGCAGACATTTGCTTTCTTCTACATTTAAAAATAATGTATTGAACTGTTAATCACCATGAGACATAGACACAAGAACAGAAGCGGGCCACGTGGCCCATCAAGTGTGCTCTCCACAAAACCTCCACTTCACAGGTGGTAAAACCTTATTAAAATGCATGTAAACAAAACAAGCCTCCATATACCTGTGCCATTTACAGGAATCTAAAATGAAGTAAAAACATGAAGTAAAATGTTTCCCCCTTCTTAACACACAAAATATAAATTCAAATCATACATTTGTTTTTACACAGGAAAGGTGGGAATGGATTTGGAATGGGTCAACATGTTCAAGGACTTGGAGATGAAATGGGGTTGGAAATTGGTGCTAGTTTTCAAAGCTTGTGGAATTTAGAGAAAGTTAATTTGAACTGCAATTATTCACAAGTTTAGTTCAAAACAAATATCACAATGATCTTGTGGTTTAGCTCAAAAACTAAGCAACATGAATAAGGTGTAAAAACTGAAAGAACTGCAGATGCTGTAAATCAGGAACACAAACACAAAGTTGCTGGCAAAGCTCAGCAGGTCTGGCAGCATCTGTGAAGGATAAAACAGAGTTAAATGTTTCAGGTCCGGTGACCCTTCCTCAGAACAGTTGTGAGGAAGGGTCACCGGACCCGAAGCATTAACTCTGTTTTTTTCCTTTACAGATGCTGCCAGACATGAATAAGGTGTGGTCATCTCTTAAGTGCATTCTTAATAGAAAGTATATTTCAGCAGTCACTTGTCCAATTTTCTCTTTTCATCACCACAATCATACATTCTTTACTTGAAGGTGACGATACCTTTGGTGATCATATATCATTGTAAGACTTACATGATCCATGTGATCCTGGAGACCTTGGCTGTAGGGTCGTCGACCAATCACCCCCATCTCCTCAGTGTCAGGAAATGAAAGGTGTCCTATTGCTTCAGCCATTCCATAGCATTTCACCATGGAGTAAGCCACTTTTGTAACTTTTCGTAAATCATCCTGAGCACCTGTATATTAAAAATGGTATCACTCAATCCAGAATACAGGAATACCTACCCTGACACAATACACTGAATTTGGCCTCCAAGCAGATCCACTTTATTTTTGACAGAAAAGAAAGTAAATAATGTAATTTCTAGAAATAAATGGAACTTCTCCAATGGACTATTCCCAAAATATTCCCAAGTTTTAAGCACTGAATGGTCTCCCAAACAAAGTAAAAAATGAAAACATTGCTGACACTGTCAGATGGATCAGATACATGGGTACGTTTTACTATTACTTTTAATTCACTTTTGTTTTCCACTTGTTAAGGTCTTATTCAATCCCTAAAACAGAGTTAGTGGATGAATATTCCTCCAATTTTCAATGTAACCAAATACCTCTAAGGTCCGGGGTATCACTAACCCTCAAAGTAATTATAAATAAAAAAGAAGACAAAATTACTGGCTACTCAATGTAAATTACACTTAGGAAGCAAACTGGTGCCAGGGAAAGTGAGAAATAACACACAGAGGTTGAAAAGAATGAAAATGATAACAAGGTACATCAGGAAAAGATTAGCTGATTCCTGACTTAAATTTTTAAAACTAGAGGTTGTAAGAATAAACAAAGGTTGAGGGGGGTGCTGAGGATTTCTGCACCTTTGAGACCCTAGAAAAGGATAAGTTAGAGTAGGGGACCGTAATTAATGGAAGAAGGGTCACAGGAAGTGAAACATTAACTTGGCTTTCTCTCCACAGATGCGACCAGACCTGCTGAGTTTCCCCAGCAATTTCTGTTCTTCTTTTTCTGATTTCCAGCAACTGAAGTTCCTGGGTTGTTTTTGTTGAACTGTAATTAATCTTGATGTCAATGCAATCAGAATATAGGAAGAGAAAAATAATTCTGCTGAACGAGTGGAAAGAATCAAAGAACACAGAATTCTTGAATCAGAATCAGTAAGAGAGACAAGGGAGGGTGTGATGGTAAGATTAAAACCCTGAGCAGAGGGAGAAAATTGGCTTGCCCATCAAAAAATCAGTTTTTTTCTTGTAACTTTATCCAAGAATACAAGTAAGGTACTTGACCATAGAAATTACACTGTGTTATAAAATAGCTTAACTTCTTTACAAATGTTTCTGTTGGCTAAAAAGATTTCATATATTAATTTCTCTGAACAAGGGAGAGGAGCTGAATAAGTATTCTGGGTAATCCAAGATGGAGGATGGGAAAAATTTGTGGCTGTAACAGCTGCTCGTTTTTTGAGGTATTTTCAGTGTTGGAGCTGATTTCCTCAAATTCTAGGAACAGTAATTACTGTTTTATAAGCTATTGCATTATTTTGGAACTTTGAGGAAAAGAATCAAACCAAAGACACTTTAAAAAGGAGGTAGACAGACAAAGGCAGTGACCAAAAAGGAAGTGATTCAAACAGAGAAAGAAACCTACACTTCTGTCTGACCCAGCTGTAACCTGCATAGCTGCTGCCTTTGCTGTCTGGTTTCAAGTATCGCTGGACATCGGAGTTCATTCCAAGAAAAATAAACAAACAGCAAAATTCACGGCTGACTTTGGAGAAACCTGAGTAGCTAGGTGGCTTTTTAAAAGTATAACCTTACTGTTTTTCTTTTGTAAATCTATAATAGTGAGTAGAGTGGGTTTTTTTTTGGATTGTATGTTGTTACTGAAATCTGTTTCTTGATTAAACTTTAAAAATATAAAAACAGAGCTACTAAGCTAGCCTGGAGCAGTGTTTTTAGCGCAGTAAGACTGTGCTATTTTCTTTGTCTATAGATTGTTAAGGTGCAAAGATGGCCTTTATTAGAGTGATGTGCTCTTCCTGTTGGATGTGGGAGATTAGGGAGAGTTTCCACGTTACTGCTGACTATGTCTGCATGAAGTGTGTTTGGTTGAGAATCCAATCAGATTGTATGGATCAATTAGAATGGCAGTTAGAGGCAATGAGGAATTTACAGAGCTAGGGGATGTGATGAATGGCACTTGCCAAGGAGGGAGATAAGCCGAGGATACAGTCAGGTAGATGGGTGACCTCCAGGAAAGGTCATGTTGGGGGGGCGGGGAGCAGGTAGCGTAGGAGTCTCCTGTGGCTATGCCCAGCTCAAACAAGTATGCTGTTTTGGAAAACGTTGGGGGTGATGGACTCTTAGGAGAATGTAGCACTGCAGCATATTGAATATAGGAGTTGGGAGGTCATGTTGCGGCTGTACAGGACATTAGTTAGGTCACTTTTGCAATATTGCATGCAATTCTGGTCTCCTTGCTGCAGGAAGGATGTTGTGAAACTTGAAAGGGTTCAAGAAAGATTTACAAAGACGATGCCAGGGTTGGAGAGCTTGAGCTATAGGGAGAGTCTGAACAGACTTGAGCTATTTGCCCCGGAGCATCAGGGGCTGAGGGTGATCTTATAGAGGTTTATAAAATCATGAGGGACATGGATAGGGTAAATAAACGAGGTCTTTTCCTTGGGTAGGGGAGTCCAAAACTAGAGGGCATGGGTTTAAGGTGAGACAGGAAAGATTTAAAAGGAACCTAAAGGGCAACTTTTTCACGCAGAGTGGTGCGTGTATGGAATGAGCTGCCAGAAAAAGTGCTGAAGGCTGGTACAATTACAACATTTAAAAGGCAGCTGGATGAGTATATAAGAAGGAAGGATTTAGAGGAATATGGGCCAAATGGGACTAGATTAAACTAGGATATTTGGTTGGCATGGATGAGTTGGACCAAAGGGTCTGTTTCCGTACTGTGTATCCCTGTGACTCTATGACTCTAAAAGTAGTCAAGCAATTGTCTTTGATAACAAATCATCCTTAACATTTTTACTGGTCAAATGCAGATGAAACTTTGCTCGAACCTTAAAGAGAACAAAGAAACCTTTCCTTTTTCTTCACTGGGCATTTTTTTTTTTAAACTGCAACATCCAATTACTTTAGCTCCAATTTCTGTAATTTTGTGCTGTGGAAAGATGACCACTTTAAGTTGAAGTCAGGCTTCAAAAGCTTACTTTTCTTGGGCTACATATTATTGTCAGACCTCAGTCCAGCCTGAATTTAACACAAGTACTAGAAGTGAAAGAACATGCTGTAACCCACATATACTGCCCCATCCATCTGGCATGAAAGCTGCTCTTTAAGAAAAAGATAACCAAATCTTTTTTATAGATATACAAATACATGTATTTAGATATTGCAATTTATAATTCTACTGAAGTCCTGGAGCTCATTGAGCAAATAAGAGAGTCTAAGGAAGATCAAAAGTCTGTCTCCAAGGTACATTTTGGGTATCACCAAGACTCAGTGGTTCCATTCTCACCCTCACCATTCAGAAAGTCGTGGACAGAATTCTGACAGTGAACTTCGGCACATAATTTAACCTGACAGTTTAGTGCTATACTAAAGGGTGCTGCGTTGCTGATGCTACCCCAATTTTCAGATTAGATGTTAACGGAATCACCGAAACATTATAGTAAAGATGATGGCCGCTCAGCCCACTGTGTCTGCACCAGCTTTTGAAATAAACATCATGACTTGATGCCATTCTCCAACCCTCCAAGTCTTGCACAATATTTCTACTGTAATAATCTATTGGTTTGATTGAATCTGCCTCTACTACACTTCCAGGCAATTAACTTTAGACCCAAACCAGTCACTGTGTGAAAATATGCTTTTTCTCACATTGCTTCTTTTGCAAATCTGCGCCTTCTTGGTCTTGATATTTTTACAAGAGGGAATGATTTGTGTGTCTGCTCTGTCCAGACCTTTCATGATTTTGAACCTTAAATCAAATCTCCACTTAGCCGTCTCAGATCCATCTTTATAATCGAAGTTTCACACCCCTAAAATCATTCTTGAAAACCTCCTGTGCACTCTCTCCAATGCATTCACATTCTTCACCCAGAAATATACACAATGCACTAGCTGAGGTTTAACTAATGTCTTAAAAATGTTCGGCACAACTTCCCTGCTTTTGTACTCTATATCCCTATTAATAAAGCCTATGATCTGTTATGCTATATTACCTGCTTTCTCCATTTGTCCTGTCACTGTCAATGACCTATGCAAGTGTACACCCGGGTTTCTTTGCCTGCTGCACATCCACTATTTTATATTATCTCTCTATGTTCTTGTTAACAAAACACATCACCTCAAAATTGAACTTCAAAATCCTAGTTTTTCTGATGGATGTACGAAATCCCTTGATATTATCTGAAGAATAGCATTCTTTTCTTTTTGTACTAACCCTAATTTATGCTTCAACTAACATCATTACCAGAAACAGATTATTCATTCATCTTGGTGTTTGTGGATCCTTGCTATGTGCAAACTAGCTGCCTTTGCACTACACTGACTAAAATAGCAGCAGTATTTTAATGGCTCTATGTTGGGCATGTGTAATCTACTACAGAAGTATAAATCTCTTAGATTGAATTCACAGATCTCAATCTGGGTGACAGTAGGAGTGTTGCAATCGACCTCAACACTCCTGGATTAGGTGTGAAAATATGGCTAGGGTTCTGGCTCTTGATTATTCAGCTGGAAGTAGACGTAGTGAGACCAAGATCAAACTCGGTTGTCGTAGTTTCTAAAAGAAGGGAACTGAACTTGCAAAATTAACAAATATATAAATATTTATTACATTCCATTAACTTTAAGAAACCCATAAATGGCAGTGCAGCAGAATGAAGCATCAAATTATATCTGCAGTGGAATACAGGTCCTCAAATGAGGCATTAAACAGGACAGCTGTACATTGCAATGTCTGATAGTTTAACAGCAGAGAGGAAAATATATCCCATCTCCCAGCAGCTAGATTATGGACAGAAGTCTCCCATTCTCACAGCCACATATGTGAAGGGGGAGAAAAGAATCAAGATAGCTTAAAAAAAAGTGATATTCACCTTCCACTGACAGTCTCCCACCACCTATCCCCTGGTGGAACAGGACAGGCTGATATTGAATAAAGGCTACACAAAATGTCATCCTTTAGACTTAAACTGAATAAAACACTGTCCAAATGATCAGAAAAAAATAAGTGTTTAAATATTTTTATATTTGGTATTTTTCAAATTATACCTGTTGTGACTTTATTAAAGATGATAGCTTCTGCAACGCGACCTCCTAGGGCCATACACATACGTTCAAAAAGTTGTTCTTTGGTGTAAAGGTGTTGCTCTCGTGGTAGGATCTGTGCAAATCCCAGTGCAGCATTTGTTCGTGGTGCTATGGAGACCTGCAAGGTAAAAAATAAACACCAAGTTACTTAAAAGTTGGCTCAGTAATATCAGGAAATTAAAATTGATGGTTCAGAATCATTGATGTAAGATCAAATAAAAATCATTAATAATTCCCTAATGTTTTCTAAATGAAAATACACAATAACTGTGGAAACCCATATTTTATTTTATCATTTCATAGAATCATAGAATCCCTACAGTGTGGAAGCAGGCCATTCTGCCCATTGATTACACACTGATCCTCTGAACAGCATCCCACCGAGAGCCTCCACCCTGCCCTAATCCCCGTAACCCTCCATTTCCCAGGGCATTCCTGCACACTATGGGCAATTTAGCATGGCCAATCCACCTAATCCACACATCTTTGGACTGTGGAAGGAAACTGAAGCATCCAAAGGAAACGCACTCAATCATTGTCACCCAAGGGTGGAACTGAACTCAGGTCACTGGTGCTGTGATGCAGCAGTGCTAACCACTGAGCCACCATGTTTTAAAATATGACAAATATATTTTCCAAAAGGCTTCATGGCTCTATTAAACATCTGGTAGGTTATCAGCTGTAGGCAATATAAGCCAGCTCCTTCCAGGCTGATCATCTGACTCAGTACCCTGATCCCACATTTTCCCCATACTCTTTGATCACATTAGCCTTCAGAACTATAACTAACTTCTTGAAAACATTCAATATTTTGGCCTCAACCATTTCCTGCAGCAGAGAATTCCACAGGCTCAACACACTCTGCATGAAGAAATTTCTTCGCATCTCACTCCTAAATGGCCTAACCCGTATCCTTAGTGTGTGACCCTTGGTTCTGGACTTACCCTGTCATCCCTCAACTAGTCCTGTTAGAAGTTTATAGGTTTCTAGGAGATTCCCCTCATTCTTCTACACACTACTGAATACAGTTTTAACCTTCCCAGTCTCTCTTTATACATCAGTCCTGCTATCTCAGGAACCAGTCTTGTAAACCTTTGTTGAATTTCCTCCATTGCCAAAATGTCCTTCCTCAGATAAGGAGACTAAACTGCAAACAAATAACCCACCACAGTTGAACAGCCTACTAACATGAGCTGGATACTTAAAACGATTTTAAAATTTTTGCACGAAAGCAAATCCTTCTCTTCCCTGCCAAATGTGTTTGCCTCTTTAGCTTGTAAATTCTTGTTTAGCATTTACTACATTTAAAGTCTTTCAATTTTACATTCTTGTCTTACTTTGAAGTAATAGTTTTATTTATAGAACTTAGTTGACTTCTATGACGACTGATGCCCAACTGCCTTCTTGATGGTGGAGGTTTAGTACCCACTCAGACTTGCTACTATTCACAAACTGCTTTGAGATACTTCCAACCAATAAAGTTGGTACAGAGGGATCAGAGCAAATCTTAACACAGTGGATACTGAAACATTATAAGATTGATTCAAACAAGTGATTAAGATTGGAACATAAAATAAGTTTAAGCTCTATTTTTGTGAACAACAGCAGTCACTGCAGATTCCGACCAACTATATTTGTGTATAAATGAATGTAATCATGGTCATATAGTTCATAATTATACAAAAAATAACTAGACCTTTAAGACAGCTTCTGTGTGCTCAAGAAGCCAACCCACAAGAACATGTCCAGACTCATGATAAGCTACTATTCTCTGTTCTTCCTTAGAAAGAATTTTACTCTTCTTGGCAGTGCCTGAGGGAAAAATGAGAATGTGAACAAAACAACTAAAATATTATTAAACAAGCAAATATTGCCATGAGGTTGAACAATACCGTCTTTTTGGGAATTTATTTAACAATCAGCGTACAGCGGTTTTGTTCAATCACTTTGTAAACCACTTTGACAGCTGCAAAGATACTTGATAGGAACACTTGAATGTTGATAACATGAATCATGGACCAATCATACATCACAAAGGGTCTATTCAGCCAATTGTGCCTGTGCAGACACTATAAAACAGCTGTCCAATTAATTGCATTTCCCTCTGCCTTTCAATGAATCTGATTAGCAATCATAATATGACTGAATTTTACATACAGTTTAAAGGAAAAGAAATGCAAGCTCAAGACTATAACTGTGAATTTAAATAAGGCAATTATGACGACATAAAAGCAGAACTGGCAAAAATGATCTGACCATTTAGGTTAAGGGATACATCAATAGAGATGCAGTAGCAAATATTTAAGAGATTATTCACAAAAATGCAGAATAGATATATTCCAACAAATTAAAAAAAATTTAAGGGATGGACCCACTATCCATGGTTAACTAATAAAGTCAAAGGTAGTATCACACTCAAAGATATCCAATTTTGTTAAAGTGGCATGTCAGAAGATTGGACAGAGTATAAACAAAAAGCAAAGAATTACTACAAGATAAATGACGGATAAGTTAGAATGCAAGAGAAAGTAAGCAGAATATACCTAAACAGATAGGAAGGAAGAGAGTCATTGGAGACCACCAGTGTAGTGTTGGAAGTGCAGGGTTCAATAAAGAATTTAGGAGAGAAATGAGGTGGCATGAAGAAAAAACTGATGGATAAGGGGAGGGAAGAGGATAACTGGGAAAGAGTAGAGCCCATTAGTTACCAAGGAGCCAAACTGGGTGCGGAGCTGGAGGACATTGGTAGAGTGTCAAATGAGTATTTCACATCTGTCTTCATTCTGGAGGAGGAGGAAGAGAAAGATGCAGTTACAGAATTCAGGAAAAGGGACTCTGGGGTTCTTGAGCAGGTTGATATAGGAAGTAAGGTGATATTGAAGGTTTTGGCAGGTTTAAAAAATGGACAGTTCCCCAAATCTAGATGAGTTATCTCCCACTGCAGTCTGGGATATGAGGGAGGAAATTACAGGAGCTCTGACTCAAAATTTTAATTCTTTTCTGGCTGCTGGGGAGGTGCCAGAAAACTGAAGGACAGTTAATGTGGTTCCACTTTTCAAGAAGGTGGTCATAAAGTCAGAGTGGTATACAGCAGTGACCCAACTCATCCATGCTGACTGAACTAGTCTCATTTCCTTGCTTTTGGCTCACATCCCTCTAAACCTTTCCTATTCACTTACCTGTCCGAATGTTGAAATTGGACCCATCTTTACTATTTCCTCTGGCAGCTTGTTCTATATACGTACCACCCTCTGAGAAAGAGTTGTCTCTCAGGTCACTTTTAAATCTTTCCCCTCTTAAACTTATGCTTATGCTTTCTAGTTTTGGACTCATCTAACCTGGGGAAAAGACCTTGACTATTCACCTTATCTATGCCCCTCATGATTTTATAGGAGTAGGGATAAACCAGGGAATGACAGACCAATGAGTCTCATATCAGTGGAAGGGAAAGTATTAAAGAAAATTCTGAAAGAGAGAATTAATCTCCACTTGGAGAGGCGAGGTTGGATTAGGGATAATTAATTTTGACTGAATTTTTCGAGCAGATGAGGATACTGCATTTGATGTAGTTTATATAGATTTCAGCAAGCATTTGACAAGGTCCCACATGGACAAGGATAAAAAAGATAAAAGAACAAGTTATCCTGGGTAACTTGGCAAGTGGATCACAATTGGCTTAGTTATATGAGATAGGGTGGTGGTAGAAGGCTGTTTGTGTTCTGGAAGACTGATGTCCAGTGGCATACCACAGGGATCAGCACTGGGCCCCTTATTGCTCATGATATAATATATATAAAAATAATATAGAAGACAGTGGAAGATGGTGGGGGGTGATTTTGAGTAAATTTTGCCAATGACAAAGATTGGCCAGGTGGTTGACAGTGAGCAAGGAAGTCTTAGGTTACAGTAGGATACATATGGATTGGTCAGATGTGCTGTGGCAAAAGAAATTGAACACTGAGAAGTGTGTGAGGTGATGCGTTTTGGAACAAGTAACAAGACAAGGGTGTACTCAATGAATGGAGGGAAACTAGGAAGCTCAGGAGGAACAGAGGGATCTGGGGTTGCTTGGCCACAGATCCCTGAAGGCAGGGCAGGTTAATAGGTCAGTTACAGAAGAATATGGAACACTTCCTTTATCAGTTTTGGCACAGATAATAAGAGTAGGGAGATAATGATGAGCTGGACAGAACAGTGGTTAGGCCACAGCTGGTGTGCAGATCTAATCACCACACCAAGGAAGGATGTGATTGCACTGGAGGGGGTGTAGAGGAGATTTGCCAGGTTGTTACCTGGCATGGAACAGTTTAGCTGTGAAGAAAGGCTGGATGAATTCGGGCTGTTTTCTTTAAAGCCGAGAAGGCTGAGAGGGGTCCTGATTTAGTTAGATTATAAGGGACATGGAACAAGATAGATAGAGAGCAGCTGTTTCCTTTTGTTGAAAGGTAATTAACAAGACAGCATAATTTTAAGGCAAAAGGCAGGAGGTTTTGAGGGGATTTGAGGTAAAGGTTTTTCACCCAGAGGATGGTAGGAACTCGGAATGCACTTCCTGGGAGGGTAGTTGAAGCAGGAAACTGCACAACCTTTAAAAAGTACTTCGACAATCAATTGAAATGTCATAACATTCAAAACAATGGGCCAAATGCTGGAAATGGGACTAGTGTAGAATGAGTATGTTTTGTTGGTGCAGACTCAATGGACCGATGGGCCTCTTCTGCACCGAATGATTCTAGCCAGTGACACACTCATTCCATAAATAAATAAGTAAAAACTGAAACTATTCACTTTCCAGGAAAACTTCACAAAACGAGTAAAAACTTAAAATAGGCATACCTGCTATGACCTTCTCTACAGCATATTCAAAACTGAATGTGTCAACAGATTTCTCCCCTTCTCTGGCTGCATGTATTGCTGCTTCATTACAGATGTTGGCAATATCAGCTCCTAGGAATGAAGGCAAATCAATCCTAAGCTAAAGATTTTGAAGGGAGGAACGTTCTTTTGTATACCACATTAGGACATACTACAATTAGCATTTTGAACTGCACAATAAATAATGGGCTACAAAGCAAAGTAAAACACAATAGTGGACAAAAGTACATCCCTTCATGATGCACTTTACCCTTGTTTCGAACAGAAGGTCAGTGAAACAATGTCATCTGCCCCAGCAGCCTTGGATGCACCTGCTCCCTCAGTCACCACTGCAGACGTCAGATCAGCCTTTTTGAGGGTGAACCCACGGAAAGCAACTGGACCAGATAGAGGCCCCGGCCGTGCACTCAGATCCTGTGCGTTCCAGCTGGCGGGAGTATTTGCTGACATCTTCATTGTCTCCTTACTACGATCTGAAGTCTCCATCTGCTTTAAGAGGGCCATCATCACCCCAGTTGCAACGTAAACTCATGCAGCATGCCTCAGTGCTACGACCCGGTGGCTCTGACCAACATAATTATGAAGTACTTTGATAGGTTAGTCATGGTTCACATCAACTCAAGCCTCCCAGCCTGTCTTGATCCTTTGCAATTCACCTACCATCGCAACAGGTCCATGGCCGATGCCAACTCCCTGGTCCTACACTCGTCCCTAGAACATCTGGATAACAAGGATATCTAGGCCAGGCTCCTACTTAGTGACTATAGTTCCGCTTTCAACACTATAATTCCAACCAAACCAACTTAGGTCTCTGTTTAGCCCTGTGCAACTGAATCTTTGACTTCCTGAACCACCAACTACAATCAGTGAGAATAGGAAACAACTCGTCCTCCACAATAATCCTCAACCCGCAAGGCTGCGTAATCAGCTCCTCACTATACTCATTCTACATTCATGGCTGCGGCCAAATTCTGTCCTACCTCCATCCACAAGTTCGCTGACAACACTACCGTTGTAGGCCGGATCTCAAACAGTGATGAGGCAGAATAAAGCAAAGAGACAGAGACAGAGTGCTTGGTGGCATGGTGTAAAGAGAACAATTTCTCCCTCAACGTCAGCAAAACAAAAAGGTCATTGACTTCAGGATGCAAGGTGGAGGGCGTGCCCCTGTCCACAATGATGCTAAGGTGGAGATGGTTGAAAGCATCAAGTTCCTAGGAGTGATGATCGCTAATAACCCGTCCTGGTCCACCCATGTTGCTGCTACAGTCAAGAAAGCACAACAACGCCTCTACTCCCTCAGGAGGCTAAGGAAATTTGGCATATCCTTAAAGACTCTTATCAATTTTATAGATGCACCATAGAAAGCATTCGATCAGGATGCATCACAGCTTGGTAAGGCAACTGCTCTTCCCAGGACTGAGGGTTGTCAACATAATCCAGTTCATCACGCAAGCCAACCTACCATCCACTGACTCCACCTATACTTCTCGCTGCCTAGGGAAGGCAGCCAACATAATCAAAGACCCCTCTCAACCCTGTTATAATCTCTTCCACCATCTTCCATCTGGCAGAAGATACAAAAGTTTAAACACACATACTGACAGATTCAAGAAGAGCTTCTTCCTTGACTTCTGAATGGATCTCAAATTTTAAATTTCACGTTGATCTGTCTTTGTGCACCTCCTCTGCAGCCGTAACACTGTATTCTTTGCTTTGTTCTATTACCTTAATACACTTTCTATGGTATGACTTACCTGTATTGTATGCAAAACAAAACTTTTCACTGTACCTAGGTATATGTGACAACAATAAATCAAATCAAATCTTGATTTACATCCCCAAATTTCAAATGAAATGTGCAAGTACAAAAAATTTAAACTAACAAATACAAAAGATTCTATGCAAACAGTGTTTACACTCAGTTGAGAATTATGTTACAATAGAATCCTGGAAAACATTTCTAAATGCTGATTTCATACCACTGAATCCTGGAGCGAGTTCAGCCAGTCGTTGCGAATAAAAACTGGCTGGACGAGTTAACTTCAGATTCTTCAAATGTTGCTCAAATATTTCCTTTCTTTCCTAGAAATAAGAAAGAAAGAAGAAATTTACCACTATAACTATTATTATCCTGGTTGGAAAGTTACTCCATGTTCAACTTTTTAGCCACATCCAAGTTTCTGACTAGCTTCAATTTTCTCTATTTGTCTTACTAAACACAAGCTAGATACTAAACACAAGCTAGATACTCAACAAGGCATTCCATCTAAAACATAAAGCTAGCAGTCCAGAATAGAACTGTAGTAACTATGCCTAAATATAGACAATCCTAATTGGTGTGCTTTCACATTGTGACACTCGTTATTGTTCCAACACTTAAAATGATTCTTCCAAGTCTGTTGTTGGGCACTGCATCAAACACTTTTTGGAAGTTCACATAGCCATCAACACATTACCCTCATCGGCCCTTGTTTCCTCCTCAAAGAACTCAAACAAATTAGGTAAACATGATTTTCCCATAAAAAATCCATGCTGGATATCTTGGAATAGCCCCCAAAAGCAATGTGGTTGACACAGAACTGTCTCTGAAAAGGCCTAGCAAGTCACTTGGTTGAATCTAACCGCAACCTCCCCTGATTAAAGAAATAACATAGGACATCCACCCAGCATTGACAAGGCGCTGCAAATGAAAACATAACTGTTGACCCTGCAAAATCATCCTTATTAACATTTGGGAACTAGTGCCAAAATTGACAGAGATGCCATTCCAATATCAAAAAAACAGTAAGAAAAAGGAATCGGAATAGGACATTCAGTCCCTCGAGTGTAGCATTACCACAGTACTAAGTGGGTTAGATTTTGAACAGTACTAGCAACCGAAACCGAGCAATGAGCTATTATGGGCCATCAGTCACACAGAACTGTATTACAGTCTGGTCAATGGATTGATCCCCTTGCACAACCAGCATTCTAGCATCACCAATCAATTAGGGGATCAATCCTAGTTGAGAGTACAGCAGGGCACGTCAAGAGCAACATTTGCCATGCCCAAAAATGAGATGTTAACCTGGTTATGCTTTAACATAGGACTACCTGCAAGCAAATACAGTAAAGATAGCTAAACGATGCCACAACCAACAGATCAGATCTAGATCCTGCAATTTTACAATATCCAGTTGTGAATGGTGGTGGACAATTAAACAACTCACTGGAGTCAAAGAGTCCATGAACGTTCCCGTGACAATAGTGGTGGAGCCCAGCATAGGAGTGCAAAAAAAGACAAGACTTAAGCATCTTAAACTCTTCAGCCAGAATTGGTGAATGCACAATCCACCTCTCTATCCTCATGGGGTCCCCAGATGCCAATTTCTTTAGAAATTTTACTCACTCCATCTGGTTCAAGAAACAGCTAATGCAATTGATACTGCCAAGGTTACAGGATGTTTTAAAACGTTCCCACAATCATGTTGAAGAATCATACTTATGCTCCAGAATTAGCCATGAAAATCCCAAGTTGTCCAGTCCAGCCAAAACCTGGACAGTGACGAAATATATGCCCTGTGATCAAATGCAGCAAAAATGCAACACAGCCAATTACCACCTTATCAATCTACTGTTGATCAAAATTATGAAAGAGGTTGTTGGTATCTATCGATGCTTGCAAAGGAATTACCTATTCACTAGTATAGGTTCTGCCAGAGCCAAATGGCTCCTGACCACATTGCTGCCTTTGTGCAAACATGGACAAAACAGCTGAACTCCAGAAGGGAAGAAAAAAAGGTTATTGCCCTTGACATCAAGGCAACATTTGACAGTGTGGCACTGATATCCTAGAAAGATTGGAGTCCATTGGAATCAGGAGGAAAAATGCAGTGTAAGAGCTCCTCAGAATTGTGTCCTAGGCCCAAACACTTTCAACTGCTTCATCAGTGGCCTTCTTTCCATTATAAGGTCAGAATTGCGAATGTTTGCTGGTGATTACAATGTTTAGCACCATTCACAACTCCTCAGATACTGATGCAGTGTGTGTCCAAATGCAGCAAGATCTGGACAATATTCAAACTTGGGCTCATAATTGCCTAGTAGCATCTCCACCACAGAAAGTGCCAGGCACAGACCATCTTTAAGAGCAAATCTAACAATCACCCTTTGACATTCACTGGCATTACCCAGCTGAAACCTCCACTATCAACATCCTGGGATTACTTTTGTTCAGAACTGAACTAGATCAAACATACAAATCTTTTTAGGCAGTCCATCTGGATTGAGCATGACTTTCTTCCATTCCAAAATTGCAGATCCTGAGGTGACTGAATAGTGAAATACTGGATGCATATACTCTGCCACAATTGGTGGAACAAGCAGTTTTTCACACGTTCCTTCTATTGTTCTCCTTAACATTCTAATGTTTACAACTTGCCTACACTTGCTTCTGTTGGAGGCATGAAATGGTTAGCACCTTCACAGATGTTTCTTCTTCAGGAAATTCCTGCAAGTCAGAAAGATGTTGCATTTTTCACAGAGGCTTTGAGTGCAGTTCCAACAGTATTCAAGAAACTCAACATCATCCAAAAAAAGCAACCTGCTTCATTGGTACCCTATCTAACACATTCATCATTCACTCCTTCCAACTTTGGCACACAGGAGCACCAATGTGCACCATCTACAAGATTCAATGTAGTAACGCACAAAGTCTTCTTCAACAGCACCTTCCAAACTCATGACCACTACTACATAGAAGGGCAAAGGCAGCAGATAAATGAAAGCATCATCCCCCATACCCACACACCATCCTGACTTGGAACAATATTGGTGTTCTGTCACTACTGTGGGTCAAAGTTCTGGAACCCGCTTCCCAACCTACCATGCACCACAGTGGTTCAAGAAGACAGCTCAATACCATATTCTCAAGGGTAAATGGTGGAGATGGGCATTAAATTCCAGAATACTGAGCAATGCCAATGTCCTGTGACTGAAAATAAAAGTTGTTTATGTCAAGTTAAAAAACAAAAAAAGTATGTATGGAATGTTAAGGAGAACTAAAATTGGAGTAAGGGAAAAGAAAGGAAAACAATTGTAAACATAGGTTTAAAGAAATGTCATTACTGTCTATAAAACCCTGGCCTAGGGAGACTCACAATTTTACAAACATGTTCATAGCTAAAGCACTGAAGTGTTTTCTTTATTCAGCTGCGAGATGCGAGGGTTGCTGGCTGGCCAGCATTTATTGCCCGCCCCTAGTTGCCCTTGAGAAAGTAGTGGTGAGGTGCCTACTTGAACTGCTGCAGTCCACAGTACTGTAAGCAGACACACAATGTCATTAGAGAGAATTCCAGGATTTTGACGCAGTGACAATAAAAGAATGGTGATATATTTCCAAGTCAAGATGGTGTGTGGCTTGGAGCGAAACTTGCAGGTGGTATTCCCAACTATCTGCTGTCCTTGTCCCTCCAAATGGAAGTGGCTGTGGGTTCAGAAGGTGCTGCCTAAGGACCTATGATGAATTTCTGCAGTCCATGTTGTAGACAGTACACACTACTGCTACTGAATAGCAGTGGTGGAAGGAGTGAATGCTTGTGGATGTAGTCCCAATTAAGCGCTCTGTGTCATCCTGGATGGTGTCAAGCTTCTCGAGTGTCATTGGAGCTGCATTTATGCAGACAAGTGGAGAGTATTCCATCAAATTCCTGTCTTGTGCTTTGTAGACAATGGACAGGCTTTGGGGAGTCAGGAGGTGAGTTACTCACTACACCTCAAGTTTAAAAGAATATTCCAATATTTCACTTGAAAGGAAATCAAAGATGTGAAATATTCATATTTTTGCTCTTATCCATCGGTACCTGCAACGTTGGAAAGTCGATAAATATGTGTCGATCCAGCCGACCAGGTCGCATTAGCGCATTATCCAAAATATCAGCACGGTTGGTCGACGCTAGAACTATTACATGATCTGTTGTACCCATTCCTGTTCAAAAAAGTAAGATTTAGAGTAAAGAACATTAAAGCAAGTTACAGCATTCCAGTTAGGATTGATGGTGCTATTGTATGCAATGTTTTACTTTTAAAAAATATCACAAAATTGTTACCAATCAAGAGGTGCCCATTCAACCCAACGCGTCCATATCAGTTCTCCAAATGAGCATCTCATCCTCTATGCCATTCTCCTGCCTTCACTCCATAACCCTGCACTTTGTTTTTTACCTTTTTCCATAACCATCTGATTCCCTTTTGAATACCTTGATTGAACCTGCTTTTACCACGCTCTTAGGCTGTATATCCTCAACACTAACTATATACCATAAAAGACACACATTAAATTCACCATGGATTGTTAAACATTTATTAGATATACTGAACAGGCCATTGTAATACTCCCTTCATAGCTGAAATCCATCATATGGCAAACAACAACCACTGACTGGAACAAAACCTCAGAAGTTTTGTTGTAGCCTGGTTATCAAGACAGCCATTTTAATTTCATTGCAGTCACCAGCTGTAGACCGAAAATTTGCTGATCCTTTCAAGTCTAATGAATAATCTCAATTTCGGTTGTACTTTAAATATTAATGAGATCCTGCATTTCATATTAAGAACTGAAGCATTATTGTTCTATAATCCATACAGACACTGGAGGAACCACTCAACCCAATTACTACTTGATTTAATTTGAATTCTGCACAAGTCAAGTTCTAAAGCTAAATGGCTTCATCATTCAAGAGTTATTGACTGGTAGAAGTTAACAAAACATACTGCCCTGCAAAGGTCAACAGTGTCCAATACATCTCTAAAAATACAATGCAACACCTTATTAGTTTAACAAATAATTAATTATATAGTACCACAGGGGCTAGTACTTTAGCTGCACCACAGCAGAATACCCACCATCCATTTCCACTAATAGCTGATTCAATGTTTGCTCTTCCTCTGTATTAGCAAACCCAGACATGCTGGTGGAACGCTTTTTACCCACAGCATCAATTTCATCAATGTACACAATGCAGGGGGCACGGGCACGGGCTTCCTTAAACAGACTTCGGACTCTTGCGGCTCCAAGGCCTGCAATGGAAAATCAAAGTCAAGACTTTACTGAAAATATAAAAAAATGTAACAGGCTGGTATAAAAAACAGATGGTAGTGTAAAGCTTTAAAATTATCCAGAAGCGCCAACTGGTCACAAATAAAAATAACAAACTCAAATATAACGTTTTTGCTGTTTTCCATGAAATGCTATTACAAGCTAGCATCAAAAAAAATCCCATGAAGTATAAATAACTAATCTCCAATAGATTACAAGAGCAGGGAGGTCATGTTGGAGCTGTATGGATCTTTCGTTAGGTCACAGCTGGAGTATTGTGTGCAGCTTTGGTCACCATATTATAAGAAGGATCTGACTGCAACGAAAGGGATGCAGGATGTTGCCTGAGATGGAGCATTTCAGCTATGAAGAGAGCTTGGATAAACTTGGGTTCTTTTCTTTTGAGCAGAGAAGACTGAGGGAAGATCTGACAGAGGTATATGAGATTATGAGGGACATGGACAGGGTGGATAGAGAAAAGCTATTTCCCTTAGCTGAAGTTTAAAGTGAAAGGCAGGAGGTTTAAAGGATATTTGAGGAAAACCTTTTATCACCCAGAGGATGGGGGTCTCAAATGCAATGCAAAGGAGAACAGTTGAGGCGGAAAACCTCTCAACTTTTGAAAAGTACTTGGCTGAGCACTGAACTGTTACAATATTCAAGCCAATGGGCCAAGTGAGAGAAAGTGGGACTAGTGCAGGTAGTAGTATTTCTTTGGCGATGCAGACTCGATAGGCCTCTTCTGTTTGATTCTATGACTAAAATCCAATGATGTAATCAAAATATTCTGTAATGTGCTTTGCTGATGAAAATGAAAATAGGGATATTCCAGAGATTAACTCTTCAAACTAATTTAGATAAACTGCCTCACTTACACTCGCTGGATTATCCTAGTTTTCCAAATACTTAATGTTAGCTTGACTCAAATGACTTTGAGGGAACTTTCTCAAAGGCACCATGCACCTTTCATTTTTATTTAATAAAGCTGCTGAATACATTGTCTATTCCTAAAGTTGATTATTTGTAATTGTTACTGCAAAAATGTTTGATATTTACTTCCATTAGAGGTCCCCCTGACCCAACATCAGGATCAGAGTCAATTAACCTCTCGTAGATAAAATTTAGGTTGTTTTTTTTCATAAACTGACTGTTGAAAGTACTTTAAAGATCTGGAAACAGATAGGAATTCTTATTAAATTATATAGTAAACAGCTTACTTTACAAATTTGCGTCTTCAGGTGGAATTATTTCATGGAAAAAATCAAAATGGGTTATAAGAAATTACTACCTTTCAATATGAATAGCTAATTCAGCAACAAACCACAAAGTTAGTTTTTGCAGGCAAAGAATCACAGGGGTGTAAAAAAGTGGATACGTAGCAAAGTTTAGTAAGGTTATGATCATCCAGTGGACTTCATTTTTGTTTCTCAGAATATACAATTCACTAGTGAGGCTGACATCTATTATACATATTATACGTACCTAGCTCCCCTTGTTTAAGTGGTGCTCAACATTCTTTTGAACGACTGTAACGTGGTGAAGATACACTAACAATGGTTAGTCATTTAGGATTTTCAGGATTTTGATGCATCAACCGAGAATCAGTGAAGAATGCCCAAGTCAGAATGGCATGTGTGCTAGAGAAGGACTTACCATTTGTGCAAATGCTACTCATACGTGATAAAATTAACTAACAAGTATTTCATACTGTAATATAATCATTATAAAATAGATAAAATTAAGGTTATTTAAAGTAATCAATTAGTACATCAAAAATTCTACAAACACTAGAAGCATTGCATGTCTCCACAACTTCTAATAAGCCTGTTGTAAAGAAATACATTTCTACAAAAGTGAGAAAGTCCATCCTGATATGTTGATGTCAGATCAGGATTGAGCATGGCTTCATATAGAAATAAATGAGGAATGGCGAATGAAACCAGTGGTTTCTCTGGTTTAATTTAACAGGCTGTCCTATCACTTCCATGCAACTAATTTCTCATAAACAAAATTCAATATTGTCCATTATACCTTGAATGTTAACCTTTATTCCTCACCTCCAATCACTTCCACAAACTCTGATCCAGCCATAGCCAGGAAAGGAACTTGAGCTTCCGATGCAACAGCCTTTGCCAGTAGTGTTTTTCCACACCCTGGTGGTCCAAGCAATAAAGCTCCCTTGGGAACTTTGGCACCAAGTTGTAGGTAACGTTCTGGACTCTGGGAAGTAAAAATTATGAACTGATTTTTTTTCCCCTATTTTGTAGTGTTATATTTGGATCATTGGTTCCTGATCAAGTAATCAAAACATGCCATTTTATTAAATTGTGGCAAAAACGCAAATACAATTTAGTACAAATAAAGTCACAAACTTGACCTCATTACAAGAACGAAAGGAACTTTATGTTAGAGAAGTGTCTATTCTCTCTTAGCCCAGTACTTGCTTTCTATGGATCTTCAAAACAGAGCAAACAGACTGAACCAGAAATCTAATGCAAAACAGAAGCATGCGGACGTTACTTTCTCAGAGTGGAGTCTGAAGCAGGAAGATAATAGCATTTTAGAATATACACAGGTCATTAGCTGAAATATTACAAAAGAATACCATAAAAAGTTACTTTTTCTACAAAACAAAAGCAAAGTCTCCTCACATCAATTGCTACTAAACAAAGACACACCTTTATGAAGGTCAGAAAAATATTTACCATTTTGCAAGTAGGCTTATTTTATTATGGGAAGAAACTACAAAAATAAGCCAAATTATGTACAAAAGAAGAACATTTCCTGAACATAATTAACATAATTAACAGATAGCATGATGGACTTTAACCTTTACTACCAGATGACGTACTGAACAAGGGCAAACTATTTAGAATTTATTTAAATATGCCACAGGGGTGTAAAATATCATTTTTTACATTCAACACATTCACATTTACAAACAGATCAGAGGATGTGCATGTATTTTCTCCCAAGACTTAATTCAGCCACATTCCTCATTATGGAAACATCGAAAAGGCAACTAAGAACTAATGCACCCCTTTACAACTACAATATTATAAATGTTCCGATTTAAAAAACAGTAAGATTGTTATATGCATTTAAAAGACTTTGCTTTTAATGAACAATCAGATGTAGATACATACAAAACTTCTTTAGTCCATCAGTGCAGACCTACACAATCTTAATTTCCCATCTGGTACACTTGAAGGAGAATGAATGAACTGCAAACCCCATGTTCCAGTTTGAGTTAATACATGCCTACTTAAAACCTTGTATCACCTGCTACAAATATTTTAATCACGCTAATTACATTTCAAAAAATGGATTTTCAACTAGCAGCTGTTAACCACCAGCACTACTCCAAGATTTGGTCCACAACTGCAATAACCTCCTTATAGAAATATTTCCATCAGTTTATTTTGCTTTAGCTTTAATTAAGCACATGGTTGGAAGAAACGAATTTGAGAGATCACTAAGCGTGCCTGTGTGTATAAACACATTGCATCAATTGCCGAATGAAGTAAATTGGGTCACTCATTTCGAACATTACAGTAAGAAGCGACTCAATAGGTGGATATTTTTAGAAATCATCCCTACCACAATTCAGATTCACTTTTAAATTTCTTAAATTATTGATCAAATCCAAGGACAACTCAACTCAATCTGCTACTGAACAATTGAAAACCCTTCATTTATACCATCTTTTCTTTCTCCAGTATTCTTCAGCTCTGCATAGTTTCCTTGCTTTGAGGCAGGAGCAGATGACATATTTAAAAACCACTAGTAACACCGCATGGATAATCACGAAGAGATGATGTGCAGGTGACGATGTTGGACTGGGGTGGACAAGGTCAGAAGTTACACAACACCAGATTATCGTCCAACAGGTTTATTTGAAATCAAACTTTTGGAGTGCTGCTCCTTCATCAGGTGAAGTAAAGATAAGCACACAAGCAAAACATTTATAGGCAGTAAGATCAAAAGATCGGACAAATGGCATTGAGTGGAATGTCAACAGGCTGAATAACAAGTTTCTGCAGGTAATCAAATGTGTCAGGCAGTGACAGTAAAGTGTCATCAGCTGAGTAGCAAATGAAGGGATGAATTACAATCCGATTAATTGAGGCAGAGAGATAATGACAAAAAATTTAAAAATGAAATGGTGGTGGAGACAAACGAAATGGCTGGAATAACATGACAGGTATAAGAGTTGCATGTCGAGGGCCTAACTAAAGTAACAAGTAATCCAAAACTGTACAAACTAATTGAGGTAGAGTGATCATAAGTTAACAAGGTGATGGTGTCAAAACAGGACAGTAAGGGATATTTTACAAGTACAGAACAGAATGGTGGGGTTACATATAGCATGACATGAACCAAGATCATGGTTGAGGCCATCTTCATGGATATGGAACCTAGCTATCAGTTTCTGTTTGGCGATTCTGCATTGTGTATCCCGTAGGCCGCCTTAGAGGACGCTTACCCGAAAATCAGAAGCCGAATGCCCTTGGACTGCTAAACGGTTCCCCAACTGGGAGGGAACATTCCTGTCTGGTGATTGTTGCGCGGTGTCCATTCATCCGCTGTTGTAGCATCTGCATGGTCTTGCCATTACACCACGCCTCGGGACATCCTTGCCTGTAGTGTATGAGGTAGACAACACTGGCCGAGTCACATGAGTGTCTGCCATGTACATGGTGGTTGGTGTTCCCACGTGTTGATGGTATGTTTAGGGTGGAAGCTAGAGAAGTGCAGCATCATGGGGCTTGTGGTAGAGTGAGGTACTAAGGTGCCCGTCCTTAATGGAGATGCGTGTGTCCAAGAATGAGACTGACTCTGAAGAGTAGTCCATTGTCAGTCTGGTGGTGAGATGAAACTTGGTCATATTATCATGTAATCGTTTCAGTTATTGCTTACCATGAATCCAAAGGAAGAAAATGTCAATGTATCTGGTGTATAAGCATTGGTTGGAGGTCCTGTGCAGCAAACAAGTCTTGTTCTAACTTGTGAATGAAAATGTTGGTGTATTGGGGCGCAAATTTGGTCCCCATAGCTGTTCAGTATATCTGGATGAACCAATTATTTAAATCATGGGTCATCCCTTCACTTGCCATTCTGGCTACTCACACCAACTGACATGTTTGATCACCTGCTGAGATTAGTTATTCACTCCACTCACATCAGTTATAAAAATCTTTTGATCTCTCTGCCTATAAATTCTTTGCCTGTGTGGTTATCTTCACTCCACCTAATGAAGGAGCAACGCTCTGAAAGCTTGTGATTTCAAATAAACCTGTTAGACTATACCTGGAATCACAGGTGTGATATTTTAAAGGTCGGTTTCTAATCTCTAGTCAGTGGCAAATCCATTGTACCAGTTATTAGCCATGACTTGTCTTGTTGGGAATTGCCCATGCAAGTGTAATTCCAGCTACATCCTTCATAAAATTACACCAACAAATGCATCCTACCAGCCCAATTTGGTTTGTTTATTTCAGGAATTAGCTTAACAAAGATAGATTAGCACAAAAAATTGCATTGTTCACACATAAATCAAAACTTCTACTATATTCTAAAATCCAATTACCTTCAAGTAATCAACAAACTCCTTGACTTCCAGTTTGGCTTCATGCATCCCTGCAACATCCTTAAAAGTAACACCTTTTCCAGACTTTCCATCCACAATAGTGAAACGAGCCATTTTGAGCTGATTCTATGCATTTGATCAAAAGAAGAGCATCATTAGAGAGAAAAACAGTATAATTCCACCCCATAAAAGCTTAATGAGCATATATTTTCTTTTCCTTTCCTTCATTTTTGCTTCTAATTCAGTTTTTTAAACAAACCTGACAAAATATTTTAGCTCCTTTGTGATACAGAATAGTGACCCTTTCAGTTTACCCATAATCAGGTATTTAGAAAGCCTTTATTCCTAATTGCAGCATCAGTTTTCTTAACCAGAATTCGAATGTAAACTTTTAATGTTACTAAACATCATCTTATTCCTGAAGATTTTTCATTGAGTAAAACTGAAATCTTTGTCAATAAAAGGAAGCAGGAAAGGATCATATACTCAAAATCTATGGTGGAACAGGGTCAAAGCCGGGAGAAGATCAAGTTGCACTTCCTGGGGTTGCAGGGAAAGGTGCCCGGGGTGGTGGGGCTAGTGGGGAGTGTGAAGTGGACGACAGAGTCATGGAGGGAGTGGTCCTTACGAAAGGCAGATAGAGGTGGGGAGGGAAATGTATCTTTGGTTGTGGGGTCAGATTGTAGGTGGCGGAAGTGGCAGAGAATGATACGGAGGTTGGTGGGGTCCCAAGGAGGTGCTATACCTGCCCCTACACCTACCCCCTCACCTCCATTCAAAGCACCAAACAAACCTTCCACATCAGACAGGGGTTCACCTGCACATCCGTCAACATGGTCTATTGCACCCGCTGCTCTCGATGTGGCCTCCTCTACATTGGTGGGACTAAGCAGAGGCTCGGAGACATTTTTCTAGAGCACCTGCACTCTGTTCGCAACAAACGACAACACCTTCCAGTCGCGAACCATTTCAGCTCCCCCTCCCACTCCGTGGGTGACATGTCCATCCTGGGCCTCATCCAGTGTCACAATATCGCCACACGCAAACTGGAGCAGCAGCACCTCATATTCCACCTCGGGAGCCTACAGCCCAATGGCCTAAACGTGGATTTTACCAGTTTCAAAATCTGCCCACCCCTGGCCTCATCCCATGACCAACCCTCCCTCTCATCCCTGCCTCCTTGACCTGACAAAACCTGTCCATCTTCTCTCCCACCTATCCACCCCTCCCACCTCACTGACCAATCCCCACCACTTCCTACCTGCACTCACCTATCATCATCCCACCTACCTTCCTCAGTCCCACTCCTCCTCTGTCTATTTATTTCTGAGCTCGCTTTCTCCTCCCTATTTCTGAAGAAGGGTTCTGACCGAAAACATCAATTTTCTTGCTCCTCTGATGCTGCCTGGCCTGCTATGTTCCTCCAGCTCCACACTTATCTCTCACTCCAGTATCTGCAGTTCTTACTATCTCTGAGTGAGTTACAGATCTAAATAGATTTTTTTTAACGTATGTGTGTTGATAAATTTTACAAGTCAGTTGGTTTCTGGTAAGCACAGACATGAATCAAAAACGAGACTAGACTGAAAGTTTGTTATTGAGCTCACTTACAAATGCACTAAATCCACCTTCTCTTCCAGCCATTCCTGCAAGTCGAAATATGTACCAAAGAATGGCCACGCCCACTGCAGCCATCCCAAGGGCATACAGCGCACTAAAAATTCAAAATTTGTAACAATTAGTTAATTCAGCGTTTATCTAAAAATAGGTTTGAAACTAATTTCATTAGGAGCATTACTCAAGATTCAATTAAAATAATTAGCGTAAATTAATATTAAAATTTTTCTTAAAATGCATTGAACTGTTTTGATTTACTGTTCTACAGATTACAAGTGAATCTACCCACGTTTTCATATAAATCATATTTCTCCATTCTTTTCAGCTTAAATCATAAAACCTCTCCACCTTTTCCTATTGTGATGCAAGTTTGCATGCAAATAACGCAGTTTAATTTGATTTGTAAAAGTCAAAATCAAGATTACTGTGATATCAAGACCACTGTGATATCAAGACATCACTGTGAACATAAATCTACTGAGAAATGGGTCATATCTAGAACTTATATTTCTTTCCCTTCACCTCCCATCAGATAACAAAGTTGGACTTTTAATTCCCCTTTCAGCGTGTTGCATTTGAATTCAAATTTTCCAGTGGAAAAACTACGTTTTAACATTGTTGTACCATTCTTACAAGACCGTTTGATTTTGAATGCAATTTTTGAACTAGGCATGTGCAACTCCAGGAGTTCTGAAATTTGTCCTTTTACTCTTCTAAAGTGCATGTTCCATTACTTCACCATAGGGATCATCATTCTAGTTTCCTCCCTAAGGTTCTTAAGGTATAGTGCATTTCTCCTTAAATTCCAGGAGTTAATAGTTTATTCATGGAACTGTGATAACCTGTTCAACAATAAAACAGCAACTTACTTTCCAAAGAAACCAGTACGCTTGTAGGAAACTGGGATCCTGTCCTTTCCATCAATCCCAAGCTCATTCTCAACAGCCCGTAGCTTCTCTTCAAATTTATCGATGTTTGCTACCTGCATGCGATACATCAAAGCTAACCGCTACAAAAAATTCAAAAACACAATTGAATGCCATTGTCAAACATAAATAAACCAATCGTATTCTTATTCTTTCCTATCACTTCCAACATTATTTTCTATAGCTTTAACCGTTTTTTATCACCTCTGTCAAAACACAGACTGCAGCTACATAAATCATAGACTCCCTGATGATGAACACAAGTGATGCAGGACATAGGCACAAATCCCATCTGCAGTAAAATGCAACATTTAAGGTTCTAGTCCTAATCACTGTACAGTGATCCTTAATGAAAGCCAAATCAGGTCAAGATTAGATGTTTTTGAGAGATGTTCCACATCTCAATAGGTTACCGACAAATATCTTCAATGTTAACAAGGCCAATTGGCAATAATACCACAGGGAGGAAATGATTGTTCAACGTTCAGCGTACTTCTTGTCAGCATTTCATAATTCCTTATGTATAATGCTTCATAAAATCTGTCTAGGACCTGTTATAGACTGATAACACTGGCATCAACAAGTTCACAGACAACACCACGATAGTGGGATGGATATCTAACAACGACGAGTCAAAATACAGAAGGGAGGCAGAGGGCTTGATGACATGGTGCAACGAAAACAATCTGACTCTCAATGTCGGCAAAGCTAAAGAACTGATCATCGATTTCAGAAAGAAGGGAGGAGAACACGCCCCCATCTACATCAACGGAACAGAAACTGAAAGGGTGGAGAGCATCTAGTTCCTTGGAGTAACGATAACCGGCGATTTGTCCTAGACTTCCCACATAAATGCGACAGTCAAGAAGGCACAACAATGCCTCTTCTTCTTCAGGTGGCTCAGGAAATTTGGCATGCCCATAAGGTCCCCCACCAACTTCTACAGATGCACCATTGAAAGCAAACTGTCTGGGTGCATAACAGCCTGGTATGGCAACTGCTCTGCCTAGGACCGTAAAAGACAACAGAAGGTGGTGTGCACAGCCCAGACCATCAACCTTCCATCCATGGACTCTATTTACACAGCTTGCTTAAGCGGAAAAGGCTGCCAACATCAAGGTGCCATTGCACCCTGGTAATGATCTACAACCTCTTCCATCAGGCAGAAGATACAGAAGCCTGAATACACGCACAAAACGTTCAGGAACAGCTTCTTTCCAGCCTTTCTCAGACTGCTGAATGGGCTCTAGCCTCAAATAATGTAACCTGCCATGTGACCTGTATGCCTTTAAGTGTTTTTGATCTGTACATCGTTTGCTGGCTGTGATCTGCCTGTACTGCTCGTAAACAAAGATTTTCACTGTATTTCGGTACACATGGCAATTTTTTTAAAAAAAATCAGTATCATCACCTGATTTCTTCAGTTTAAAATGACGTTTAGCAAAAGAATTTAAATTAGCCAAGTCAGAAGAAATTTACAACGTTGTTCCACACTAGTTAGAAGGCTCATTGCTTTAGTTTATCTACACAGTTACAATTTCTGCCCGAGTTTCTGTAAAACATTAAAACAAATTTTAAAAATACTGGGCTACAGTGAAGGGACAAAGAAACACATATCTAAATCCTGCACCTTTTTGAGGAAATCAGCCCGGCTTTGAGTCTCAGAGATATGAGCACAAGACTCATGTTGTGAACACACCATTTCCTTTTTATGCCAAGTAAATCATAGGTAACTATTATAATGAACAATGCACCCTGCTAAATATAATCAGAAAATAGTTGCTCCAATTTGACCCCAAATCTTATTATGCAGCCGAAAATGAACAATTTATCCATCATTTGGGGAATCTGGTAAGAGAAGGCTGATCAAAGTTCCAATTAATAACAATTAACCATTTCACATTTTTAATATGGCTAATTCTATACTGAAGTACAAAGCTCTACTTGAACAAACTCACTAAATAATTTTGTTCACCAAAAAATTGCCAACAACCTGCAAAGATATAAACCCAAGTAAAAGAAAGGATCTCTATTATTTAAATAATGTAATCGGTCGCATATGGAACATTTCTAGGGACAAAGTTGAATATTCTCATACAGATGTTACACAAAATAAAGGTGCAAGTTTTGGGAATTCAGGTGGAGATGAAATGCCAGTGCTTTTAAAGAAAATACACACTGTTTGATTTTGGTGACAATTCAGGTCGATAATTCAAAATCCAAAATCCAAAATCCAAACATTAGAAACACACATAAAACAAGGTCTTCTCAACGGCAAAGCATACATCTAGCAAATTGTGTCATGGTTTGTAGGTCTATCATCCCACTAAATCCAATATAATGGTAGCTTTATTGCACATATTGCAATATTGGAACCACAAACTCCCGACATGTACATCTAATGCAGTCAGCAATAATCGAAGAGCAAACTCTGGATTCTCCAAAGCCTCTAACTAAGTTAACCTTATATAGTTTTAAAAGAACTTTTAACAGTAGCAAACTTTAAGTTTTTTTTTAAATTATTCCTGTGTAATGCAACAGCTACATGAGACTTTCAGATTGGAAACCAGCAGGTACAGTAGACTTTTAAGGTCAACATGAAAGCAGTTTAAACAGTTACGGCAAGCAACAATTTAAACATGCAAACTTAAAGGGCATTTCAGATATTCATGGTCTTGAGCAAACGTTTGATGTAATTATTTTTCTCCCTTAAGGCAAGCATTTATTCCCAGCTAAGTCAGTAGACACAATATTAGTTATCTTAGGGTCCTGGGCTCTAGCTCCATGTTAAGTATCATTATTCAGGAGTATTGTGGCATAGTGGTAGTACCCCTGCCTCGAGGCCAGAGGATTGGGTTCAAGTCCTACCTCAGGATGCGAAAGCCAAGGAGGTATGTCATATGTCCAACAAGGTGAATTTTAAAAAAGGCAAGCATCTTACCGGTCTACCAAATACGACCGCCCCTGGATGAAGATAGATTTCTACCACATCACTCTCCGGTACAACCTGCACCCTGGCCACTTCTCCCTTTGCCAACATCTCCTGAACAAAATCATTCCATGAAATATTTCCTCCACTGCTGTTAATGGAATTCAATAAGCTCATAATAACAGCGATTATAAACAGCGTTCTTAGCCGTTCCCTGTACATTTGATCTTCACGCTCCCGCCGCTTTTTCTCTTCTGTTTGGAAGAATTAAGAAACAAAATAACCATGTTATGGAAAATCATTTGTTCTACATAAAAGACGATTTGTTTCCCATTCCTAACTCCAATATCACCATCAGAATTTCTATATCAGCAAAATATTGATGACACTATTTGCATTACAGAAAACCAAGAAGAAATTAAACTAAAAAAGTGTCATTTCATAAGAACTCAAAAGATACAGCTTTTATATTAGGAATGAGTGAGGGATGACAACGCTACAGGAACAATGTAAAACATAAGTTGAGGAGTCAGCAAAACTAGTTTTGGAAGAAAAATATAATTATCAATAGCTAGTGAGGAAAGCACTTCTCTTTTCCTTGTAGAACCTCTGCGTTTAGACAAAAAAGGTGCTGCAAAGAAAGGCAAACATGAGAGAAACAACCAAAAGAGGAGGACAGAAGTGCAAGTTTAAAAACAAACTGCCTGTCAATGCTAATAACAGTGATTGGAATACGTTAAAACTACCAATTAAACAAGGGATGTAGAAGGCTCATTCCCTAGGTCCAAACAATTTTTTTTAATATCTTAAATGACACATTTGGAATATTGAATACAACTTTATATACCTGGTTTCAATTGAGAAAAATCAGACAAAAGCAACAAAAAATGCTACGTGTCTTAAAACAGTTGACAACAGAAAAATTAATTGACAATAATGAATTGTGCATTAGTCGAGACATTCTGAAAGAATAAAAACTACAGTAATATCAAGAAACAATATTTAACTGCTAAAAATCTTGTAAGTGTAGGAATTTGGGGTGTTTAACTAGACAGGATTTTGAGCAATTTGTAAAAATTATGCAATTACAATAATGAAATAGGCAAGAGCAGCTTCCTCTTTCCTTTCTCAGCCTGAATGTTTGGATCAGATTGCCTTGCAAGGTATTTCATGCAACTGATCATTCAAGTGGAGCTGCACAAGTAACTTATATTCTTAACTAAGATGTGCATTCCATTCTTAATTTTAAAGTGTTACAAAAAGGAGATTAGGTTAGAAAATATTCACTGAAAGGTCTTCTATGTTATGGTTCCTTTTCATTGGCTTTTCTGTTATTTAAACTCTTACATTTGGATTTATTTTGTAACTTCAGAATGCGAAATAATCTGAATTTATTTCTATTAGGGTGGTGCTTTCTTTGGAACCAGGAATTATATACCAGATGGACAAATGGTACATCTGAATAGGAACACTTTATTGACAATCCTCACAGTTCTAGACTGGACGCAAGCTTCACTCCTCCAGGTCACCTGACCAGCTCTCTTAAAATCACAGCACCCCAACAAAACAATTTCTGCCCGTAAATGACTTTATACCATAAATTGTAGGTTTTACTATTAATTTTTTGATATCCAGATGTTACTACTGATTAATACGTACACACAAAAGCAATAAGCCCAACAACTCAAATGACTGAGATGGAACCTGTACCTATTAAGACCATAAGAGAAAGAAACAGGAGTAGGCCATTCAGCCCATTGAGCCTGTTCCACATTCAATAAGATCATGGCTGATCCAATATTCCTCACTTCCACTTTCCTGTCCTTTCACTGTAACTTTTGATACTCCTAGTGATCAAGAATCTAACTCAGCCTTAAATATACACAAGGACTCTGTCTCCACAGCTCTCTGCGGCAAGGAGCTCCAAAGACACACAACCCTTGTTAGAAGAAATTCCACCCCATCTCAATCTTAAATTGATGCCCATTTATTCTGAGACTATGCCCTCTAGTCCCCACAGGAGAAAACATTCTCTCAGTATTTACTCTATCAATCCCCTTAAGAAACTTACATGTTTCAATGAGATTACTTCTCATTCTCCTAAATTCGAATGAGTACAGTTCCAATTTAACCACACATCAGCCTTCATGATACAAAAACAGAAATTGCTGGAGACTCATCAGGTCTGGCATCATCCGTGGAAAGAAAGCAAAGTTAATGTTTCAAGTCCAGTGACTCTTCATCTTTGACTTATTTCAGTCTTTAGACATTCATCATTCCACAGATGCATCACTTCTTCCCTTGCTGATCTAGTCTGGCTCAGAGCCTTATAATTTATTAGGCTAAAAATTCTTGTTCTTTCTTAACTATCTTGCACACTATTTCTGCTCTGTCCTCCAGTTCTATATTCACCCTCTCCCTTAAACATATTGTCCGATTCTGACCTGCCCTCTCTCTTAATGCCATTTATGTAAGCAGAGAATTCAGCTGCCCAGATTCCACCACTTTGGAATTCTACACCTCCGTAATCCTACATTAGAACAGACACAATACTTCAATTGCCTATAAAGAGCTTTTGGATGTTGTGATGCCATAAAACTACAGTATGAAAGCAAGACTTACTTTCTCCTCCCAAACCGCTATTCCCTTGAAAATGCTTCTCAAAACTCATTTTGTTCATTACCTTTTGCATCGCTTCCACACCTCAGGTATGGGATCAGCTTTGCTTGCAATTTTTCATTAAGCAACCTAGAGATTTAGTTGATGTTACTAATATCTAGTTAAACCATAGATTCACTTACCTTCATCTTCTTCAGGGCTTTTCCCCTTGGACCCCTCATTCTGTTTTTTCTGTTGATTTTGACGTGATTTTGATGTGCTGAAACGGTATATGCCACCTATGAAACAGAATATTTTAATCAAGTAACAACAATCTTATCAGGCATAAATTGAGTCTGAACGTCTTTCTCACTCACCTATTAACTTGCAGAACCTTGCCGGGTTTTGTTTCAATTGCCTAAAAATGTGTGTCCTATTAAATTCCTGGAACTGAAGGCTTAATGGACGAAATAACAAGCTCTGTAAAAATAAGCCATAATAAACTTAAAACAAAAAATTTTCAACTAACAGCTTAAGTAATTCTCGCTAGAGTACACAAAGAAGTGTAGACAGGATTCTGATCTCAGGCCATAGCAAAAATACACCGCCTTTACAGGAAACATTATATGAGATCCAAGAGCTGGTAAAAGTGGCATGAACTTGTGAAAGTAAAAATTCTGCTCTGGGTGTGGAATCACAGGTAAGCCAGACAAGGTAAGGATGACAGTTTCCTTCACTACAGTCCATGAGTGAAACAGATGGGCTTTCTTGACAATTGACAATGCTTTCATGGTCAGCATTAGACTGTTAATTCCATATTTTTATTGAACTTCAATTTCACATAGGTGGGATTCAAACCCACGTCCCCAGAACATTACCTGGGTCTCCAGATTAATAGTATCATGTAACACCACTAGGCTATCATCTCCCCAGTGCACATGCGGCATCTTGTATTCTCCTATACGCTTCAGCAGATGGACAAATAATGACAGACTGTATTACTCTAGCTAAACTTTAGGAAAAATGTTTATCGATAATAAATTATGAACCGCTGATTAAGATTACTGGGCGGCACGGTGGCTCAGTGGTTGGCACTGCTGCCTCACAGCGTCAGGGTACCAGGTTCAATTCCAGCATTGGGTGACTGTTTGTGCAGACTGTACACATTCTCCCCATGTCTGCGTGGGTTTCCTCCGGGTGCTCCAGTTTCTTCCCACAGTCCAAAGCTGTGCAGGGTAGATCAACTGGCCATGCTAAATTGTCCCTTAGTGTCCAGAGATGTGTTGGCTAAGTGGATTAGCCACAGTAAAATGTAGGGTTACAGGGATAAGGTGGGGAGCTGGGCGGGATTCTCTTCAAGAGTCATGTGCACCTGAGGGGGCAAATGGCCTTTTTCCACACTGTGGGGATTCTATGGTATGAGCTCTAACAAATTAGTCCAAAGTAATTAAGACAAAGTCATTAAAGCCCCCCAGAGGTTTCTTATGCAAGTCAAATTGAATAGTCACAAAATAGTCACTGTTTCCAGTTGTCAACTGGTTTGGAAAGCAAGATAACATAATATGAAGCAACAGTATCACCTATGCAAAAGAGCTAAAGGCATATCAAATATGAAATATGTAACTCTTAAAAAGGGATAACAGCTAAAGTAGGATTCAAAGGCAGAACAGCCTAATAAAAGACCACCAACCAAAATATTACACTTGGTTTTCACAGATACTGTTTTTGAGTATTTCCAGAAACTGCAGTATTTTAATTCTGAATTAATCAAATAGTTCAGCTTCATTTCTGACGCAGTACTGTCTTTATCCATTCTGCATTATGAATTGGAGGGGAAGTAAATCTCTGTCCATCCCTTTTTAAGCACACAATGAATAACAATAATTTCCTTTAACTCATATTTCTCAAATTCTTGAGGTACGTTGTTCCCAGTTCCCTACCAAAAAAAAATGGGCTCTCAAAACATGGTCACGATTATATTAGAGGCCCAAATAAATTCAACAACTGAATATCCATAGCCCTATGGAAGTACAGCATATTGAAGATTCACTACCTTCCGAAAGAAGAAATTTATCTTTGACTCATTTCTAAATGACTGAAAACACACAGAAATACAATTGTACAGTGTGAGAGCTGATTTTCTGCAGTCATGACACTAACCTCTGCAGTAAGATGCTTTCACTTTAATTCCTATATCCTCATCCAAAGTGTTTATATAAATGATGAACAACAGTGGACCCAACACCGATCCCTGCAGAATACTGCTGGTCACAGGTTCCAGTCCAAAAAACAATCCTCCATCACTGATTTGATTTGATGTATTACAGTCACATATTCACTGAAATAGTGAAAAGTATGCTATCCAGACAAATCATACCTTACATAAATACATCAGCGTGAGAGAACAGAATGCAGAATATAGTATTGCAGCTAGAAAAGATGCAGAGAAAGATCAGCTCTAATACAAGAAAGGTCCGTTCACAAGTCTGACAACAGCAGGAATGAAGTTGTTTATAAACCTGGTAGCATGTGTTTTCAAACTTTTGTATCTTCTGCATGATGGAAGAGTGTGGAATAGAGTATAACCAGGGTGGGAGGAGTCTTTGATTATGTTGGTTGCTTTTCCAAGAGTGTAGGAAGTGTCAATGGAAGGAAGGCTGGTTTTCATGATGGACTGAGCTGTATTCAAAGCTCTCTGGAATTTCTTGCGGTCTTGGGCAAAGCAGTTGCCATACCAAGCTATAATCCATCTGAACCGGATACTTTCTATGGTGTATCTGTAAAAATTGGTGAGTCATTGTGGACATGCCAAATTTCCTTAGCCTCCTGAAGAAGTAGAGGTGTTGATGTGCTTTCTTGACTGTAGCATCAATGTGAATGGACCAAGATAGATTGTTGGTGATATTTACTCCTGGGAACTTGAAGCTCTCAATCACCTCCATCTCAGCACCATTGATACAGACAAGGGCATGTCTCTACTTCGCTTCCTGAAGTCGATGACCAGCTTCTTTGTTTTGCTGACATGGAGGGAGAGATTGTTGTCTTTACACCATGCCACCAAGCTGTCTGTCCATCTCTTTCATGTATTCTGTCTCATCGTTGCTTGATCTGAACCACGACAGTGGTGTTGTCAGCAAATTTGTAAATGGAGTTAGAGCTGAATTTGGCCAGTCATGAGTGTATAAGGAGTATAGTAAGGGACTGAAGTCAGGCCTGACAAATCTGTTATAACTCTGAGGAAATAACAAGCAGGTTAGACCAAGGAGAGCCAATAGATGTTATCGCCTTGGACTTCAAGAAGGCCTTTGACAAGGTGCCGCACAGGAGGCTGCTGAGTAAGGCAAGGGCCCATGGTGTTAGTAGCAAGGTACTAGCATGGATAGAAGATTGGTTGTCTGACAGAAAGCAGAGAGTGGGCATAAAAGGGTATTTTTCAGGATGGCAGCCGGTGGCAAGTGGTGTTCCACACAGGTCAGTGTTGGGACCACAACTTTTCACTTTATATATTAGTGATCTAGATAAAAGAACGGAGGGCATTCTGGCTAAGTTTACAAATGATACAAAGATAGGTAGAGGGACAGGTAGTATTGAGGATGCGGGGAGGCTGCAGAAGGATTTGGCCAGGTTAGGAGAGTGGGCAAAGAAGTGGCAGATGGAGTACAACGTGGGAAAGTGTGAGGTCATGCACATTGGTAAGAAGAATAGAGGTATGGACTATTTCCTAAACGGGGGGAAAATTCAGAAGTCTGAAGTAGTATTGGGAATTCTAATCCAGGATTCTCTCAAGGTAAACTTGCAGGTTGAGTCAGTAGTTAGGAAGGCAAATTCAATGTTGGCATTTATTTTGAGAGGACTTGAATATAAAAGCAGGGATGTACTTCTGAGGCTGTATAAGGCTCTGATCAGGCCACATTTGGAGTACTGTGCGTGGTTTTGGGCCCCATATCTCAGGAAGGATGTACTGGTCCTGGAGCAGGTTCAGAGGAGGAGTTCACGAGAACGGTCTCAGGAATGAAAAGCTTAACATGAGGGACGTTTGAGGACTCTGGGTCTATACTTGATGGAGTTTAGAAGGATGAGGGGGGGATCTAATTGAAACTTACAGAATACTGAATGGCCGGGACAGAATGGATGTTGAGAAGATGTTTCCATTGGTAGGAGAGGCTGGGACCTGTGCGCATAGCCTTAGAGAAAAGGGAAGACCTTTCAGAACAGAGATAAAGAGAAACTTCTTTAGCCAGAGTGGCGAATCTATGGAATTCACTGCCACAGAAGGCTGTGGAGGCCAGGTCATTGAGTATATATAAGATGGAGACAGATTGATTCCCTTGACAATCAAGAACCTAAGGTTATGGGGAGAAAGTGGGAGAATGGGGTTGAGAAACTTATCATCCATGATTGAATGGCACAACAGACTCGATGGGCTGAATGGCCTAATTCCTGCTCCTATGTCTTATGGACTAAGTACGCAGCCTTGTGGGCACTGGTATTGAGGATTACTGTGGAGGAGGTATTGTCATCTATCCTTACTGATTGCAGCCTATGGGTCAGGAAGTCGAGGATAAAATTGCTGAGGTGGGGTGCAGAAGAGTCCTAAATCCGAGAGGTTGGAGACGAGTTTTGTTGAAATTATTTTGTTTTGAAGGTGGAGCTAAAGTCAATGAATAGGAGTCTGACGTAGGTGTCCTTGTTATCCAGATGTTTCAGGGATGAGTGTAGGCCAGGGAGATGGCATCTGCTGTGGATTTATTGTCACTTTAGGCAAAATGTGGAGGATCAAGGCAGTCTGGGAGGTTGAGGTGTGCTATGACTGACCTTGTGATGCGCTTCATAATGACGGATGTCAGAGCCACTGGGTGGTAGTCATTAAGGCACAGGCATTTTTTTGGCACAGGGACGATAGTGGCCTTCTTGAAGCAGGTGGGAATATTACGATGTAGTAAGGAGAGGTTAAAGATGTCTGCACATATTCACGCCAGTTGGACTGCTAATGATCTGGGTGCATGGTCAGGGACTCCACTTGGGCCAGTCACTTTCACCCTCAAGAAGGCCACTCTAACGTGTGGAAATGACAGTGGGCACAGGTGTACTCGATGCTGTCGAGGTGAGTGACATTATTTCACTGACCTTCTGTTCAAAACGAGCATAGAATGCATTGAACTTGTTGGGGAAGGATGCTTTGTTGGCAGCAATTCTACTCAACTTTGCTTTGTAGCCAGTTATAAGGTGTAAACACTGCCACAGTCGACATGTGTTTGTGTGGTTAGTCTGGAACTCTAGTTTAGTCAGGTATTGTCTGTTGGTGTCCCTGATGGCTTTGCAAAGTTTGTACCTAGATTTCCCATATAGGTCAGGGTCACCGACTTGAACGCCTCAGACCTGGACTTCAATACGGAGTGGATCTTCGGGTTCACTTGTGGTTTCCACTTGGGGAATACTTGAGTTAACTTGTTTGGCACACAGTCCTCTACACACTTGGC